TGAGGGTGGCTCCACCTCACCCGACACCAAGGTCATGGGCTCCGCCTCACCCGACACCTGAGGGTGGCTTCGCCTCGCCCGACACCGAGGCTGTGGGCTCCACCTCGCTCAAGCCCTGAGGGTTGGCTCCACCTCGCCCGACACCGAGGCCGCGGGCTCCACCTCGCCTGACCCCTAAGGGTGGCTCCGCCTCGCCCGACCCCTGAGGGTCGCTCTGCCTCGTCCGACCCCTAAGGGTGGGCTCTACCTCGCCCAACCTCTAAGGGCTGGCTTTGCCTCACCCGACCCTTGGGTTTGCACTCTGCCTCCCCTGGCCTCTGGGGAGGAACTCCGCCTTGCCCGACCCCAAGGTTGGGGCTCCATCTCGCCTGACGGAGACCCATACCGCTGCCGACCACTCCAGGTCCAAGCGTATGGGCCTGGGTCAAAGCTCTGACACCAGGGAGGTGATCGGCATGCCCCGATATAACCCGTGGCCATGATGGGCCATACCTGAGGATTCACATTAGGAACAGCGTCGGGCGAACCGGTGTTGTTCTGGCTCACCCTCGTACGAACACTGACATGCATGTCAGTTTGCCACGACGTCCGCCAGGATAGAGTGGAGCGCCATGACCGGGAGACGACGCCTGTGCATGGCTCCAGTGACAGACAGGGCCGTGACATGAAACTATCCCTATTGACGTCTACAGTGTTGGTGAGACCCACATAGAAGAGAAGAAGGACCCAGTGATCCTAGAAGACTTCTTCTCCTTCTGATTCTCCTTTTTTCCCTCCGCTGTAAGCCCTGCTTTCCCTTGGCCTATAAAAGGGAAAGCAGGGCGTCCCATTAGGGGGGAGATTGGAACTCATCGCAATGCACCACAAGAGACTCGAATCTGATCAACTCATCGAACCCTGAGCACACAACCGAGCAGCGACCAAGCTCTTGGCACCCGTTCATCCTTTCCATCAAAGACTTGAGACCTATCCCTCTCTCACCCGTTTGTAACCCCTACTATGAACTTTCAGTGCTAGTAACATGAGCGGTAGCAACGAACTAGACGTAGGGACATTCTATCTGAACTAGTATAAACCTTGTGTCCTCATAGCACATCATCCGAGCCAGACGCACAATATTAGAAATTTACTAGTCGGTGGCAACTCAAAATACCGACACAATCAAGAGAAGATTAGTCCTCGATAGGATCTAGTCTTGTATTAGAGATAAAGAGATAGAGTGAGAGGGAAGAGTTTTGGAGGAGTCTCGGCCTGTCGGTGCTCTCTCTATGGCTTGTACCCTAGCGGAATCAAGTTCTTCTTGAGCTTGCTTCTGAGATTTCTCTGGTAATCGACTTCAAATTCAAGTAAGCATCTTGTTCATATTATTCTTCAGGTTTGCGACTCTCTTTTGAGTATTTTAATTCTTGTAGCTCTTGGGTTAAAGTAGTATTCATAGTGTAAGCATGGTTCTTAGACTCGGTTACTCATGGATATACCCTAATTTCCTGATCGGTGGTACCTCGCGAGGGTGACTCTTATAGCCTCATTGAATCCTCTGTAGTTCACCTCCCGTTAGTAGGCCTAACAGGACTTGTTATTATAGGAAACATACTCTGCTTGTGTTTTCTCTAGTAATATCCCCAAAATTGAACAATAGAAGACAAAGCTTACCGAAGTTAGAACTAGAAGACATTAGCAGTCTCCTCTACGCTCCTATTATCTAGCCTTAATTGTAAAGTTGGGTTAAGTTAGAATTGGTTATTCTCACCCCCGTTTCTTTGGGTTCGATATAAAACTGGGTTACTTTCGGTGAAGTGCTACAACGGTATAATATCTATGCGCTTGCGGATTATTCTATGTGCATTAATTTATACCAACACCATACATAATGCCAGAAAATTATTTGGAATGCATAAGGCATTTCAAGTTCAGGATCACGTACTAAATGTTGAGTTCGAAGAATTGTTGCTTTGCATAATATTACAAATAAACTGTCAAATGCATTTACTGATTACTAAGGTGTCTTATAAACTTTTTAATCCATTGCAAGTATGTGCCAGAAAGAGTGGTGGTACCAAGTAAACACACTCAACTCCTAATTGTAAATAAGAGGGGGAGAAGTATGGCCATAAAGCAGGATATTCATGCTAGCAATAGAAGGTTTTCCTTCTAATAAGATAGTAAATGCATGTCAACCTATGGTTGGCGACACCTTATGGGTAAAATTTGGTTATTACTTAGTGGATGGATGTCATCCACAAACCTAGCTCAGAGGTGCACCTAAATGTTGATGCTAGGATATCGGGAAGCCCTGATTCTCGTTTCGGGAAGTCACGATGAGTCATTCAGGGTACTTTGAGTTTTGATGGACCAGAGAATTATATCATAGAAAGGCTACATGTGTCGACACGTACTTTTTAGAATAAACTGTATACAGCATTCCAAGTCATCCAGTCAATAAGACCATGGCAGAGTGCTTTGCTCACTCTTACTGGAACTTGTTGAGTGATGTAATACATGCAGATATAGTCTTGCTCACCAGAAAAGAGGTGTTTTGGGATATGATGCCAGCACCTCATGGTACCTTTACTGTGGATACAGAAGTGTTTTCATCCTAGAATGGATTGAGAACAATGTGGTGGTGAGATCAAAGCAAGACTAGTAGCACAAGGGGTTTACGCAAAGCCTAGGCATTGATTTTCATTGCAAATTATTCTCCATAGTAAGTTATAAATTTCCGATACTATCATTTGATTGGCAGTACAAAAGCATCTATTGTTGCAGTTGATAGTTGATAGATGTAGTGATTGCATATATTTATATGATTACTTGATTTGGTGTATTTGTGAAGCTTCTAGGAAGGAGTTCACATACCCAACCCTCATACATAAAATTGCAACACATATTGTGTATTGCTTAAGTCAATATATGGCTTAAAGCAGTTAAGTTGAATTTGGTACAATCGACTTTGTGTATTTTCTAAACTGAAGGGATATAAGATTGATTACACGTGGTATTCATTTTGAAGTCCTTGATTGGATTTCATAGTGTTATATGATAGTCAATAATCTTGACATCATTTGTGATGAACACATGTTAATAGCACGTTGTAATCTAAAGACAGAGTTTGAGATGGAAGATACGGACTAAACCAAAATTTTATTTTGTGTTTATAATTCAAGCATCTTCTCTCAAGATTTTATACGAAAAGCTATCTATATCCAGATCATATTGAGTGATTCAATATGAATGTATCATATGATTGTTCTACCTCATGATAGAGGAAGATTGTTTTATGCCATAGTGACTTATATGAGATATTAGGACGTGTGGTCTATTATCTCTGTGCTATTTTTGCAATGATTTGCTATCTAGTAGCAGCGCTACTCCTATCAAATGTTGGTGGATTGAAGTTAATAATATCTTTTGATATCTTAAATAGCACATGTGGTCCTGGTGTGATCCATGATCCGATTATGTGGATATAATGATTCTGGTTATCTATAAGATCCCTAAATTCTAAATCATTAAAATAGGCTTTACATGGATATGGAAAGGTCATTTTGTGATAGTCTTTAAATAGACATTTAGTGGTCAATTCCATTAATCATTCTGACATTATATTGTACAAGGCTTCACATAAATGTGTATAGCTTGATAGAATGATATATCACATATTGAAGTTATGTGGTGTTGATTCTATGAATCAATAGTCATTATCTATAAAGATAATGCAACTTGTGTTGTGTAGATGGAGACAAGTTATATTTAATGCAATATTTTGCACTAAGATGGTTCTATTCCATATGTAATATGGGCATTAGAACATTTGCAAACTAAGTCTTGTGATATTCTCGCAGAGATATTCACAAAGTCTACCATACTCCACATTTCTTATGTGTTGAGTGCATTGATATGAATTTACTTCGATGTTTGCTAATATCAGGGGGAGAGTCTCTCTGATTAATAACTTGTGGCAAACATCATATTGCACTTTTTTCTTTTTATGAGTTTTTCTCTTTGGGTTTCTCATATAAAGTTTTTAATAAGGCAATATCAACATAAGGTTATGTCATATCATCCATTTTCCCACTGGGATTTTTAGTGGATGATATTGGGACATAAGATCTATTGTACTCTTTTCTTTATGTGAGTTTTCCCTTTTGAGGTTTCTCATATAAAGTTTTGATGAGGCAATGTGAACACAAAGGTATATGCTATATCATATAGTTTTTTCCACTGAGATTTTTGGAAGATGATATTTGAAGCATATTGACCCTATGGTTAAGGTGTTTTTAGACTAAGGCTTTGGGTTTATCTCAAAGAGTCTAATAACATTGGTGATTCTATATCATGGTGTTTTCTCTTTATTTTTTACACTGGGTTTTAAGAAATTTTGCCGGATATACCAGTGTTACTTTGGTTTTTCCCATGGAGTTTTTCAAAGATTCATAAAGATGCATAATAGACGAACAATGAAGACTATAAGGAGCTAATTGATTAATCCAAGGGGTGTCTTTTCACCTCTTTTCTCTTTTACACTTGTAACCACCCACATGGGCCATATATATATATATATATATATATATATATATGTAGATACTGTTCATTAGAATACAACATAGAATCATTTACATCTCTCGCTTTTGTCTCGCTCTCTACTTGTAACAATATTCAAGCAGACTCTGTCTTTACGAGCATCTCTCCGATAGATTGAGCTGGTAGATTAATTTAAAATGATTTATAATTTTGGCTTAAATTTGAGATTCTTAAACTCTCTAAGAAAGCTAAGATAATTTATAATTATAAATGATATTAACGGTCTCGTCGAAAAACGGCGGCCAAACAAACCACCGCGGTCCTCGTCAACTTATCTTCAAATGAGCCTCTGTGAAGTGGGTCCGATATGTCAGGAAACTGTACGGACTGGCTGACTGGTCGTCTTCTCCACCCTCACTTGCTTCGCTGCGGAGCCTAATCCGCAAAACCCAAGGAAAACCCCCACCACTTGGCTCGCCATGGACCTGCAGCTCGCGCCACCGCCGCTCGCCAACCTCCGCCTCCTCGCCCACCGCCCCAAGGCCGCCTCTGCCTGCACCTCCACCTCCACTGCCACCGCCGCGCCCTCCACCTCCTGCTCCTCTTCCACGGAGCAGCCCCTCAAGCCCCGCCCGCGCCTCCCGCGCCAGAGCCCCGCGCCCAGGCCCCGGCCCCGGCCCAACCCCACCCGCCTCCCCGCCCTCTGCGCCGCCATCGAGCGGCACGCGGCGGCGGGCCGCCACGCCGAGGCGCTCGACCTGTTCCGCCTGGCCCGCGCGGGGGCTCCCTTCACGCCGCTCCCGGCGCGCACCTACCAGGCGCTGCTGCTCGCCGCCGCCGCGCTGCGGGAGCCCGGCACGGCCGCAGCGGTGGCCTGGCACGTCGAGAGCTCCGGCTTCGAGCTCGACCTGTACACGCACAACCACGTCCTGCGGGCGTACCTCGAGTGCGGCATGCTCGCCGAGGCGCGCCGGGCGTTCGACGGGATGCCTGACCGGAACGGCGTCACGTGGGGGATCATGATGGGCGGCCTCGTCGACCGGGGCTGCCCCCGCGCCGCGCTGGCGCTGTTCCAGGAGATGCGGGCGGAGGCGGCCGGCGGGGACGCGCCGCCGCCGAGGTCCCTCGTGGTGGCTCTCAGTGCGGCTACGTCCTCGGGGTCGGCGCGAGCCGGGCGGCAGCTGCACTGCTGCGTTGTCAAGGTGGGGGCGTGTGGTGACGTCACTGACCGGTACCTGGCGTGCGCACTGCTCGACATGTACAGCAAGTGCGGCTTGATTGATGAGGCGAGGCGGGTGTTTGACGGGCTGCCACGGCCTCATCGGACGAGCGTCGTCGCGTGGAACTCCATGTTGGCGGCGTATGTGCTCCATGGCCACAGCGAGGAGGTGCTGGAGCTGTACCAAGAAATGTGCAGGAGTCGTGTCGCCATGGACCAGTTCACATTCTCGACCATGCTAGGGGTGTTCTCTAGGTTGGGGCTGCTGGAGCATGCGAAGCAGGCGCACGCTGGCTTGATCCAGAGAGGATTGCCACTGGACATTGTTGGGAACACGGCGCTTGTGGACTTGTATTGCAAATGGGGAAGGATGGAGGACGCAAGGAATGTCTTTGAGAGGATGCCTAGGAGGAACTTAATCTCATGGAACGCTCTGATTGCTGGATACGGCTACCATGGCATGGGGGATAAGGCGATCGAGATGTTCGAGAGGCTGATAGCTGAGGGTGTTGCGCCAAACCATGTGACGTTTCTGGCAGTGCTGAATGCGTGTAGGTTTTCAGGTCTTGTTGACAAAGGGAAGAGGATTTTCCAGTTGATGACTGAAAACCTGAGAATGAAACCAAGGGCTATGCATTATGCATGTGTTATTGAGCTTTTTGGTAGAGAGGGCCTACTTGATGAAGCCTATTCAATGATAAGAAGAGCACCGTTCACCCAAACTGCAAACATGTGGGGGCCTTGCTTACTGCTAGCAGGATCCATAAGAACATGCATCTTGCAAAATTAGCTGCCGAGCAGCTATTGGCAATGGAACCTGATAAGATAAACAGCTATGTTGTGCTCCTCAACTTGTATGTTAGCTCTGGTAGACAGGATGACGCCTGCAAGGTAGTTCAAACATTGAAGAGGAAAGGTTTATATATTCATAACGCTTCTAGCTGGATCACAGTCAAGAAAACGGATCACAGGTTTTTCTTTAAAGATACTTTGCATCCACAAAGTGCTGAAATATACAGGAGGCTAGATACATTAATGAAGGATGTACGAGAAGCTGGCTATGTTGCTGAGGAGAATGAGTTGCTCCCTGATATTCATCCCGAAGAGCAAAAGATATCGAGAGCTTACCACAGTGAAAGATTAGCAATTGTTTTTGGCCTTATCAGCACATCTCCACATACTCCCTTGAGGATTACTCAAAGCCATCGTTTGTGTAGTGACTGCCACAAGGTAATTAAGTTTGTGGCAAAAGTTACCATGAGGGAAATTGTTGTAAGGGATGGTAGCAGGTTCCACCACTTCAAACTCGGGATCTGCTCTTGTGGTGACTACTGGTAATTGGGTATGTCCAACTATCTAATGGTTTTATTTTCTGACACTAAAACTGAGAAAGGGTTATGAGATTGACCAGCAGTAGTGTCCTTTTTCACTTTACGGATTACCAGATGTGAAACAGTATATGATTCATCCAGAATGTGACCTAGTTTATTTTCTGACCAAATATGCTTTGTTTAGCACATGAAAAAAAGGTGCATGTGCTGCAGAAGCTAATGCATATTTTGCTGACAGCTAATGACTCCAGATGTTTCAAGCCAATTCTCTGGAAATTACTTTGATTAATGAGGATAAAGCAGATTGGTCGACCATGATGCTTCAGCGTCTGTGCTACATGCAGGCTTGGTAAGTTTGGAGTTCTTTATTTCTTAAGACGTCGAAAGAGTAATCTACAAGTTTCACGCACATGGATGTGTCCATTTGCTCCTTTCCTTTTCCCTCTAACTGTCGGCAAAAAAAATTTGGGCCTTTATTTTGGTGAGCAACATCTTGCGTGCCTTTATCTCTGTAAGAAAAGATGGCTGTTGTGACGTGTTCAGTAGAAATGTTTTTTTAGCACAATCAGATAGATTGTTTTTCCCTGCGTTTTCACTAGCTTTACAATCCTTGTGTAAAAGCAGATCTTTAAAAGTAGGCTGAATATGTGTTGTGTGGCTTTCGCATTGGAGATATCAATCTTTAATTGTGTCCTCTAAGGAAGGAATAAAGCTCTGATGTAACAAAGGATCCAAGGGAAGTATAATACTTTGAACATCTTGGGACAGCTAGTTTCTTCTTGCTTCGTAACTGCATCCTAGTTGGAGAACAAATACCCTGCTGTACTTTTGCCTCTATTTATTCACTAATTAGCCATAGAGCGGGTCGCAGCTCACAACACCATTGTAAGCAGGTGATCTTCCTTCAATAACCTTCTCAGCTAGCAGAAGTCTGAGAGCATGCTACAATGGCGAAGATGGGAGCTGCTATTCTGGTCTGCATAGTGGTTTTAGCCCTGGATGTCACAGCTGGCATACTAGGAATTCAGGCACAGGCTGCTCAAAACAAGGTAATGTTTCAAGATATTGGTATTTTTTACCAAATCACAGAGGGATTTTGAAAATGACATGTTTCGTAGACTATGATTTTGCTTCATCATGCGTGGTTGGTATTTTAGCTTAATGGTCTCTGATTATATAATTGATGACTGATGTTGTTGGTATTGTATTTTATACTGTTTCTACAGGTTAAGAAGGTGACAATTCTCTTCATCCAATGCAAGAAACCAGTTTACAAAGCATACCAACTTGGCCTTGCAGCTGCAGTGCTCCTGGTAGTTGCCCACGCGATAGCCAACTTCCTTGGTGGCTGTGCCTGTATCTGCTCTCAGCTGGAGTTCATCAAGGCGTCCATTAACAGGAAACTGGCAGCCATTACTATAATTCTCTCATGGTAACTTTGCTTGTCTATAAAATTCCTCTGCAATGCAGTGAGGTGGACCTTCTAGACGGAATATTTAATAACACCCAATTTGATTTGAGCCTAATCATGGTGACTGTCAAGACGCGCAAATACTGCAAAAGAAACAAACCTGCTGTCCCATCATATGGTCAGGATCGTGAACCACAGCAATGAGCGATGGCAGAACTGATCTAGCTTAACAGGAATTTTTTTTATCAGTGCTAATTGCAATTGCTCTGCAACTTGCTAGGATTGCCCTGATTGCTGGATTCTCGCTGCTGCTCGCTGGTGCCATGTCCAACTCCAAGTCCACGACATCATGCAGACTCACTCAAGGCCACACTTTGGCCCTTGGAGGGATCATGTGCTTCGTCCATGGTGGTATCACCGTTGCCTACTACGTCACCGCCACTGCTGCAGCGCACGAAGTTCCTTAGTCGAGCGGCAAAGTATAATATAATGCTTTTGCCCAAGAGATCATCACTATTCTTTCCTCATTTCAGCTGCTTCGTGCTTTTCTGCTTCTGATTTGGCTTTTACAAGCATCCGGTTCTCTCTTGTACCAGAGTCAAATGAAAAGTAAAATATATGCCTGTTGTTTGATTTGTTGCTATTGCTGAGAAAAACATGTGAAAGTTAGTGTCAATGTACCACAGTAATTTACGTTGTATGTTGGAATGTTTTATACAAGTATATCATATACTAGAACATATAAACATCATTATCCAGTTTTTGCACTTAACAAAAACATTTTTTCCGTGGGCTTCTTCAGCACAACGTAGTGCCGTTTGAGCATTTTGCACTGAATACCTGCCGTGAGAATGGTCGGCTATCACCTGTCATTCTTTATGGACAGCTGACAGAGCTGCTGTTCTTCGGTTGCTGAATTTATTGGACCCACCAGTCAGACACCGGAACCTCCAAATGTTTAGCTTCTTCATGGGCCCACATGTCAGCTGCCAAATTTTAATCATTACAAAATAAAGTAAACAAACCCTGATTCCCAAGGTTAACATCACTATTATGTTTCAGACAAGGTGACAAATCCCAGCAGCCCCATGGGTAATAAGCAAATCACAGTTCGGGAGTACTTAAACATAAACATGACGAAATCTGCATTAAGGTGATGGACAATGATCTAGTTGGGACCCTGTCGGATTAAAAATTAACAAACCGAAATTGTAAGAAAAGTACAGTTGTGCGCCTCCTGATCTCCTGACTGAGGAATGCAATGGCAAAGGGGATGGTAACAATCAGCTTCTATATATCAAGTAGTCACAATACATTCTATACAACACACTTACAATTGACTTGACACCAGTTACCCACCCTTACTGCTCAAAACTGCATCTCTATCCAATAATCCATCCTTGATCATTGTGAATTTTTTATATCAACAAAAACAAAAGAATTGCTCAGACCAAGAAACTCAGCCAAGAACTGGAAAATTCAGTTAATTTCGGTCAGACATCTGGCAGCTCCGAAACGCTGCCAACTGACTCCTCTCTCTGAAGACCAGAGAAGGACGACTGAACCTCGGACCCCTCCAGGTCCACAGATTCATCATCTGCCCTTGCCTGTGGATGCCTGTTGCTGTGATGCTTCCTGCTGCGGCTGTGCTTCAACACACGGGTCAGAGCCTGGACGACATCTCGCATTGCTGGGCGCTTGCGGGACACACGGCTTACGCATCTGTAGGCAACAGCAGACATGTCATTGAGCTCCTCCACGTCAAATGCGCCTTCTAACCGAGAATCTGCAATTTCTTCCCACCCAGTTTTCCCATCAGCGTTGATTGCAGCCTGTGGTAGAATGCAATGTAGTCAGCATCTGGAAAAGCTAATATCCTCAAACCAAAACCTACGAAGAGTAAGGGGCAAGGTGGCTTACAAGCTCAACATATTCCATTAGACCCTGTTGTGGGTTTCTGCCAGCAATCAGTTCGAATAGCAAAACACCGTAGCTGTACACGTCACTCTTCTTTGTGAATGATCGTGTGGATACATACTCTGGATCAAGATATCCATAAGTTCCTCGTATATTGGCTCCATTGCGAGTAACCATTTCCTCTCTAGATAATCCAAAGTCAGCAACCTGGCCAAAAAAAGGATATTTACGTCTGAGAGCAGAACTTTTACACAAAATGCAACAGACACAGTGGTGTGCAGGAAATTCTGGTGTATGTGAACCCAGGGTTTTTCCTTTCTTTTTATTTCTTCTAAATCTAAAACAAAAATGGGTCCTAGCAATACTGGACATGAAGCCTTTGAGTATCAGGAAAGATATGTTCAATGATAAAATATCAGAGAGATGATTAACATACCCTAGCATGCATTGCCTGGTCCAGCAAAATGTTAGGAGATTTGATGTCACGGTGGACTACTGGAGGAACAGCCTGCATATATAAGTAAAACCAGATCAAGCACTATGTTTACATTATGTGCCATGCTACGAATTCTGCATTACAAGAGCCTACCCCATCATGCAAGTACTCCAAACCCCTAGCAACATCCAGAGCAATGTTCACTCTTAAATCCCACTTCAGTGGTGCACTGTTTTCACCTGAACAACAAAAAGAATGTTCAGTTAGCTAAAAAAAGGATACACTATTGTACAGGTAAAGTGTTAGATGCTGACTTCAAACAACAAACTTTTACATAAGATGCACTGATGAGTGTATTCATTCCATCGCCTGATAAAAAATCTCAGTTGTAATTTAAGAATATCCTATTATCTTTCTTCAGAAGATTATCAGTCCAGCTATGAGCTATCCCTTCGGATTATTTTAAAATTCACCCTTACTGAATTTCTTTAGTTATATCACAAAGGTTACCCCTAAACAAACATGGATATGCCATAATAATTACTATCATGAGAGAGAAACACAGGATCACATAAAGAGAAGACATGCCATATAAGTGTGATGCAAGGCTCCCATTAGGCATGTATGCATACAATAACATATGTTGCCCTTTGTCAGCACAATAGCCAACCAAATTCACCAGATTCCTGTGGTGTAATCGCCCAAGAAGTAAGACCTGAAGTCAAGAATTAATCAAACACTAAGCATGTCAAATTTCTAGTGAGGACTGGATCCAAATCAAACAGTACAGGTGTACAAATATTAGCTTACCTCATTTTGAAACTCCTTTTCACCTTGCTTTGAATTGTTCGAAAGCACTTTAACAGCCAATATCTCACCAGAAGACATTTCTGCTCTGTAAACAGGACCGAAGGCTCCTTGACCTAATAATGTTGTGAAATTGCTGGTAGCTTTCTGTAGTTCCCTAGAGATGAGGCAAAATCATGGAGTTCAGCAAGAATATGTACGATTCTAAATCAACCATTAGAAGTGCCACAAGAATTATCTGAGTGGTCGACGGTTATGTAAGATACATCATGTACAAGCAACTGAAATTTGTAGCAGTAATGTTGAAATGATTGAATACTGAATTCTCATGGAAAATATGGAATGTGATATGATCCATTGATCGGTTTCCCCTGGGAGTAACGGTTTGTCCTATCCACAGGGACAGAATTTGGGAGTCGATTCAGGAAAATGTCATTACAGTGTATTGACCCTCTAAAACATAATATTATGATGAGTATTTGCACACAATATGTATTCTATTATATTTTTTGAATAAAATGCATTAATAATACTTTTGAAAACAAAAAACACTATATACTTAAATACTAACAAGTCACAAACTAATGAATGAAGTCATATCACAACTTTTGACCATATTGTGTTGGGTGGAAAACTGGTATTTTTCAAAAGGTTGTAATGTTGGTTCCTACCACCTGCAGTTTGATTCACTCGAACATCCACATGTGGCTGGATGCTTTGGTCAACATAGAAGCACATGCCCTCCATGTAGACAGTTCAACCAAATTGGATTTGATCTCGTGAGATCTACATCCACATGAATGTTTTAATTTGACATATAACATTATTTTATGTTATGACCGATGTTCCCATCCTTCACTCTTGTTTCTCTCCATCTATTTAACTAGCGATAAATCTGGCAAATGCTCACCCTCCGTCATTTAATTTCTCCACATCAAAAATTCCGATGGAAACCACTTTCATGAAGTCATTGTCAAATGTTTCAGCAGTAATTAAGTAGACTTAAACGAAGGATGAAGTAACTGACTTATCATGACAACAAAACCGATCATTTGCTAAGCAAATTAATCAAACAATAAGAATACATAAGAATTCAGGAAACATACTTGTATGCATATTTGGGTATACCAGAAGCTGAAATCATGCTCTTTCTACCAGGCCCTTCGATCCACAGAGAACTCGCACGGTCTTCAAGCTCCCTCGGGGACTCCTGCCCTGTAGTCGAGTTTGAGAGCATGGCACAAGTATTAACACCATTGGTACGGATGGGGACTGTCGATGCCCTCCTCGAGCTGCTACTCCTTATCTGCGTCTGGGAACGCCGATACCTCAAGCACAGCAGTATCCCAAGAGCCAGCAGCACACCTATCACCACCCCAACCGTGATTCCGATGATCAGACCTTCGGACACTCCTTCCATTCTCCCCACTCAGCAACCAGATCCTAACACTAGGGATGCTGCTTCCACCTCATGGACACTCCACCAAGGAAGAAGAGCAACAGCTATATGTCCTGCCAAGAAGTACAATGAAGAATAGTAAGTAAAGTTGGAAGCATTGAATTGTGAGAACATGTGGCTCTGTTCGTTAGGTGGGTGTGCAAGGACATGGATGCACTGCAAGTTAAACCAATCTTTGATATTGATATATAAAAAAGAGAAGTTTTACAGAAACATTTGGTCAAACTTTGCCATCTCAGCTCATATCACATCACAAGTGAAAAATGATAACCACAGTGATGGGACTTGTCAGATACAAAATCAAAGTTGGACCTGGACAGAGACGAGTTGGATATATCTGGTGAACAAACATCCAAAGTGAGACATCGCTTTCCTTATTCGTCAAACCTTAAGTGAGACAATTGTTTTTCAGATGAACCACTACCTAGACTCTAATGCCACCCAAATATCAACCAGGCTTCTAGAGCACATCAAATTCTCCATCTCCCTTAAATGCGAGAAACACACAAATCAAAACTGCTTCCTTTATTACAATGAAACTTTCGACTGAAAAGACTAATATATGGTACTAAAAGCTCAAAGCTTTCACATCATCAGAACAGATGAACTTACATTAAAAAAAATTACATATATGCTCCCCTTGCGCTTGTCTCCACAAACACTAAAATCGCCAACGCCAAATATAAAGTGTCCCCTTTCCCCTCTTCTGACACTAATCACCATCATAACACGATAATTTGAGCAAAATGAGAGAAAAAAAAGTAATCGGGAGACAATCGAAAGCTGAAGCAAGGAACAAATCCTAAACCCACAAATATAGCAATAAAGAGAGCGGTCCAACAGCTAGAAAACTCGAAGAAGATATTTTCGTCGACCAGAGGAACGAACAAGGAACGCAGCAGATCAGAACCGAATCCGGGCATGAAAAGAAACGCAGGAGCAAAGCAAGGCTTACCCAAATGCGGCCGGAGACGGAACCATGGGGCGGGCGAATCCGGGCTCGTCGGGATCAGGGCTCGCAGCGGATCCCGATTCCGCGGCTCGAGGGCGTGGGCAGGAATGCGCGATGGATTGGAGCGGGATCGGTGGATGGAAGGGGAGGCCTCGGTGCTCTGGTTCACGTGGGTTTCGAGAGAGGAGGCGAGGGAAAGACGACGAAGACGACGATTTTTTATTAGAGAAGGGGAGTGCAACTTCCTGTTGAGAATAAAGCAAACATGGAAAAAGAAAGGCTGGAAAAAAAGAAAGTTCGCAAGAAAAAGATACTACTAGTGAGGGTAGTTTGGTAAATGCACTGCACATAGTTTTAAAATTGTGCATTGAACGCTTGATTATGCCAAATAACGGACGAACAAAATTTTCTTTAGGAAAGACTAAAGGAATATCTTAAGATTAAATAATATAATAGTGTCTTGCTTTTATTAACACTATCAATCTTTTCTATGAAGTTTTTGTTTGGTTTTGAGGAAAGATCCATTTTCACCATTGGATCTTGCAATAGTAAAGAAAAAGAAGAATGTTTGTAAGGCAAGAGTTGAAGATAATGCCGATGATACTATGCACATGGAATAATCTAAGGAGAATGCAATGCTTAAGTTTGCTATAAAGTAAGAGGGTGTTTGGATCCCAACTGAATTATAGTACTAACTAGATAAAAAATCAGAAGGTGATTTAAGCATCTCAGATTATGGATTGGATTGTTACAGCCAAACCATTAGATTTTAATAATCCTATAATCTCTCTTCAAAGGGATCCAAACAGTCTATATATCATTAAAAAATACTAGTATAGTTTAATTAGGATCCAAACAAGCCATAATAAGCTAGTTTGTATTTATTAGTATTAGCACACCATTTGTGTTATATAAATATCGAAGCTTTACATAAAATGGTCTCCATGAAGGCATGAACAGGACACATATGTGCCAAACACCGTGCAGTGTGCATACCCTAGGGCCCATAAATCGTGCTCGATATTTAGTTAGGCTAAAGTTAAAGCTACTGCTGAAATGTATCAAAGCAGCAACCCACTGAAGAAAAGCACGAAGCACCCTTTCCGGCTTCGAGACGTGCGCTCGATACTGCTACTAAAATGACCAAACTGCCCCCTCCTTCTTCTTCTTGCCTGCGTCCGGTCCCTGCCGCTGCCGCGTTGTCCCCCTGGCCAGACGTGTCAACTGTGAACCCCCGACGGATAATCATGTACTGATGTACGGGGGCGCCGATATTCCATAGTACATTATGTACAATCTATTAATACATTTAGTACATAGTACAATAAATGTTCCCGTGAAAACGGCTACTACTTTAAGTTGAATCACATCTAATGCAAAAGGTCATTCTTCTTTTCGGTTTGTTAATATAAAAAGCTATTTTGTTACGAGAGAAAATAATATAGATTAAGTTTTTTTCTAACCGAGCAGTGAATATAAATTAATTACTTTAAGTTTTTTTTTCTAACCTAGTGAACATAAATGCTCACGTATATGCATATACACTCACGCGTATACACACGTGCTACCCTTATATATGAGCACCTCCGGAGGCCTAAGATGGTCTAGCAAATCATGAGATTGGTGAAGTTTACACGTAGGCCTCGCATCGCAACGGAAGACACACACACATATCCCCGCCTCACTCACCCCTATTAAGATATGCACGCAAACATCTTACCTTTACTAGCACTTTTGAAGGATTATGTTTCTTTTGGTGAGAAACCTATCTTGACTTAATATATGCTTGCAATTTTCTGATTTTATTCTAAAATTTAACGGCGCTATTCTTCTAGTGGTATGAGATGTGCCTATCAATATTGAGACGACGTGATGACTTTGTGAATATAGAGATCTAATAGCTCGGTCTTTTAGAGATGTTATAGAGATAGAATGTGCGCACGTGTTTATAGAAAAGAATATTTGTACATATATATCGTTCTCTGCTTTGTACTATGATTTGCAAAAAAAAAGGAAAAAGGCATAGAAGTTTATTTATTTTAGAGCGGAGCAACTACATGTTATTTTTTTTATATAAAAAATGCTTAATGATGTGGAATACCACCCAGCGTGCATACACCCTATAGGTTCCTAGGCCATAATCTAAGCTAAAGCTAAAACTCCTGCTGAAATATGTTAAAGCAGCGCAACCCACCGAAGCACGCCCCCTTGCTTTCCGGCTTCGAGACGTGAGAATGACCAAACCGCCCTTATTCTTCTTCCACGCCCAGTCCCCTGCTGTTGCTGGCACGTTGTACGGTTGTAGTGTAGTGTAGCCTCGACACCAGCCAACAACACCCAACAGCTGTTGGATGGCCGACTATCAACTGTCAACGCTAACTGTAAGCTACTCGTTCCGTACCAAAAATAATATAATTTAGGGATTTGCTAAAATTCAGGTTATCTTTTAAAGACGACAGTTATTGCATATGTTTTATATTAAAATTGTAGATTTTGTTTACTGTAATTTCTGTATGCACAATCTGCAATTTTTTGTACCAAGAATAAAAAAACACGTTAGACAAAACCACACACCCGACAAAATCTAATTTGTATTGGCACAAAGACAATTAACAATTACAATTATTTCTATAGAAAGACAAGGACAAAAATTTAATATGTTATGACACAAAGACAAATAACAAATCACAAAAGTAATAATTTACTTACAAGAGTGTTGTCTGAAATTACCTTAAAATTCAGGCACCTGAAATATAGGAAAAATGTATAATTTAAGTTTAGAATCAAATCAAGTTTTCTTAAATTTAAGAACAATTGCAAAAATGAAATCTTTATTTGAATATTTTTTCACTGATGCTGGTCGTATCAGGAATGGAGGATGCATTACACTAGATATAAGTTGACATTGGACAAGTCTCACGAAGTTTACAGCAGGGGTTTAAGAGAAGAACAACATGATGCCTATCATAATGATCTATAGTTTCATTACCAAGTTCTTGTAAGTACCTACAAATCCATTCCATTTTAATTTACTATTTTAGAGATTCACCCATTTAACAATATTTTTTATTGCACGGGTCTACAGATCTGATGAGCTCCATCAATTCTTGCACACTCAAGTCGCAGGTAGCAGGTGGAATGCTAGCCGAAGGATCACACGCTGCCTTCTCTTCTCTCTGCGCGCGCACGAAAAAAGGTACACCTGCCTTTAATAACAACATAAAATTGAACAAAAAAAAACATGCATATTTTCTAATGCATTGTGAAATATTTTAATAATTTATAATGACAAACAATGCTAAAAATAAATGAAATACGTAAAACCGGCTGCAGTGATGTCAGAATGACAAGGAAAAAGGGCAACATATGAGCAAGCTTCTTAGAAAGTCTATCTGTCCTAAAAAAATACAATTTTAGATCTGATCAAAGACAAACTATTTCAAATTTATCTTATCTTAAAATATTATTGATACATACTACAAAAAATGTATTTTATGATAAATCAAATGATATTTTTAGTATGATAAATATTAGTATATTTTCATATACATTACAGAGGGAATACTTTTTTTTGTTCCATTGTGAAAAAAAAGTTACTTTTTGATTGGTCAGAGAAACATTATTATGTTAGTTTCTATAGCTAGTCCATGACTAATGCAATCAGCGGATGAGCCTATTCGCTAGTTGGTTTCTGGGTTGATAAGTCCGACTAGTACTAGTTTGTTGTGAGAAAAAAATACTATTAACTAGCTAATAAGCCCTGATTAAAACCAATGAGCGAAGAGGCTAGATGAATGGCACGATCGATATATGACGAACAGCAAAGTCACGTGTTAGTTAGGCGCACTCATGTGTCGGTAATTAGTGGGTGATGAGTACGTATAGCAGAGTCGACACGCCCACGTGGATGCGTGACTCGTGTAGGCAAGTACACGCGACTTCTGTAGCACTGCACGTTCCTGTACATGGTTATTCTTGGTACAGTACATATATACACATATAGGAATATGTATCTACATACTGGATGTGCATACTCCTGTGTGTTTATTATGTCTTGCTACGTGCATATGTGTTTATTATTATGTATTGCTAATTAAGTTCATTATAACACATATACACTCCCTCCATTCTTTTTTTACTAGTTACATTAGCTTTGTCTTTAAGTCAAACATTTTCATTTTTGGTCATTAAATTTTAAGAAATCTACATAGTTTCACAACATGTAAATTATGTATTATAGAAGTATTTATCATAGTGAATATAAAAACGTAAACCTTATGTTAGTTAACATGCGTATACTTTAAAAAAAATTGATGATAAAAGTTAGAAATATTTAACTTAGGACAAAGCTAATACGGCATGTAAAAAAGAACAGAGTGAGTATATCTTGTTAAGTATTTATGTCTCTTAGTAAGTTCACTTGTACATACATGACACTTGAATTGTTACGTTCACTTAAACATGTATGATACATGTACTTGTTTAGTCCACTTAAACATAAAAATGACATCTGAGCCTAAGTCTACTTAAATATAGGGATACTTAAGCTTCCTGAGTCTAATAAATATAGATGATACTTAATCTTGCTATTATGTTTCACTTAATCATGTTTGGTTCACTTCGAGACATCTGTGACAATTAAACTTGCAAGTACACTTAACACTTAGATTTGTTATATTAACTTAACGTATATGACACTTAAGATTATTAAGCTCATTTAAACACATATATGACACTTAAGCATATATGTAAACTAATAGTTAACTTTAATCTTTTTAGTTTGAAAGTGTAATGTAACCTTTTAATATACACATTTGTCAGGTCCCTTGCATAGAAAACATCATAATAATATGATTTACAAAAACACCAAGGGCTAAACCATAAAGATCAACACATACTTTTTTTGGATTTAAGAGCAACACATACTAATCCAAAAAAGATACATAATTTATATATATTTTTTGAGGGAAAAATCTATATAAATTATGTATCTTAACATTGAGTGGACGGTTTTCCACATGTTGCAAGCTCATCCTATCAGTGAGTGGACGGTTTTTCCTGCTGGGAAAAGGCATCGATTGGACATCACTGTGCGCGGCTGCTCACAATTTCAGCCAGAATTCATTGTGCACGGATGAAAATACTGTTCACACTCTCACAAATTCTTCTAGATTTCTCCAAGCGAACAGGACCTTGGTTAGGGCGCACAGAGTGAAAGACATATATCCCCCCCTAATGGACATATACCTCCATTGGGACTGGTACTAACAACCAACTATAATGGTGGGATGAGATCATTTGTTTTCTAATAACAGTAATAATGCCGACGACAAATCGAGTCACCTGCACTACACAACTTTCACTGCCTATTTTACTTGCCTTTCCCCGAGTTTTTCCCTTTTTCTGATTGGCATAGGGGAAAAAAACAGATCTGTATAATATCTCAGATCCCTTGCACTACATTTGTTCTTCCAAAAAAAAAAACGAGAGTTCTGCCATATGTACAAAGTAAGAGCTTTATAATATCCCAGACCCAAATGTTGACCAAAATAAACTAGTAAGTAGTAACTAGTAAGAGGTGAATAAACATGTCACGCAGGGAAAACAAACTGAGCTTTCCAGAGTGTAGCATTTCTCGATTCTACACGCAAACAAATCAAGAATGACACCTGCATAGCATCTACCACATAAACAGGGTAAATTCGCGCTCAAGAACAACCAACACAACCGAACAAAGACCACCATTAGGTTTACTGGGTTGCTGTTATTATTGCGAACGAAATACTTACTTAAGGCCAAACACCACAGCAGTTAATCCTCAGAAACTTGGCCTAAGAGTCAAGAAATGAGTCGAGGATCAGCTGACTGCTGACCCAAATTGGCACATACTACAAAGAAAAGAAGCCATTCCACAGATATAGCTTGAAATGACAATAACGGAAAGTCCTAGTTTAGAGCAAACTCAGATCTGTCAACGCACAATGTAGCCACTGCAACACCCTGTAGAGAGAACAGTATCTGTTAAAGAAAACACTGCTATCATGGAATGAAACGGAACGGCCGAACGGGGAGCATTGTTTTCATGGTGTAATTCAAAGCGTGATTGTACAGGAAACACCCTCTTACCTCAGGTCAAGGATCAGCACTGCAATATTTACATGGTGTCCAGTGGCCACAAAGCTTGTTACCTACCTACAAAGACACTAGATGAGGCTACTAGCATGGCAAAGCAATATTGAGATTAAGAGAGGGGGGGGGTCACCTTCCATACAGAGCTTTGATATCCTGGCGGATTGCTTTAGTGTCCAATAGTTCGTCCCCAGAGTCATCAATATCAACTTGACCAAGCTTGAAGTCTTCCGTAGTACAGTGCTCACTCCATTCAAACCACAGCTTCGGTATGACTTCTTTCTTGAATGCTGTCTCATGGACCTTTTCCTCGTCAGAATCGGCAGCTACAAGTCTGTATACAAACACCTTCTTCTGCTGTCCAGGCCTGAATGCACGCCCAATCGCCTGACGGGTGACAGATGGGTTCAGGTGTACATCTAGAATGATAACTCTCGATGCACCAACGAGGGAGATGCCTTCTCCACATGCCTTGATAGAACCAAACAGAACTTTTGCATCGGCAGAGTTGTTAAAATGGTCCACTGCCACTTCTCTGTCTTCTTGACTAGTATCACCAGAGATCATAAAAATCTCTTTCCCCACATGCCAGCCCTTCATCTTAACCAGCAGCCTTTCAAAAAATTTCATGGGAAGGATATACTGACTGAAAGCAAGTACTTTCTCTCCTGCAGAATTAGCAAGTGACAGGATATTCATGAAAAAATTGGCCTTCACACCATCTTTCACATTGATAGAATCCAGCAGACTATCAACTAAATCATCTCTCAAGATGTTAGCCCTGTTCTCAGCATTAACCTCTGAAAGTTGTGAAAGACAAGGATGAATGTACAATGCACTCCCTACTGCACTTCTTTTGAATCTGTCATGAGTTTCCAACTTGTTGCGAATAATGTCTTTCTGCTTGGGTGTGAGCTTCAAAAACACGCTGAAGTCTACTAAGCCAGGCAGTTCGTCTAAGATATCACCCTTGTAATAGTGAAGCACATCCTTTGTTAGTTCTCTAAGACCTCTAATAACATGTGCTTTTCTCTTGAAGTTTTCATCATTCAACAAGGTTCCTTCAACTGCCTCAGTGAATGCGCTATCAGCAAACCCTTTTGAACCTCTACCAGATATTTCGACTTGACTCATTATACGTCTGGCAACAGGGCGGGATGATTCCATCCTGAGAAACTTCGGGCGAACAAGATTCAAGATATTGAACACCTCCTCAACGTGATTCTGGAAAAGTGTACCTGAAAGAACCACTTTGCGTGGTGTTTCCACTCTATTTAGCGATTCTAGTACATCAGTCTCCCGATTCCTAGGTGTATGACCCTCGTCAAGTATCAGAAGGTTGGGAACCTTAAGCAGCCTGTCCCGACATGCAGCTGTGACGTTGCTGCCCCCATCATCAGTGACGATTGTGGCGAACTGCTTGTATCCAAGAAACAGTATACTCATCTTGTCTTCCCAAGATTTGAGGATTTGCAACTGTTCTACTCTTTTTTCAGCCTTAACAGAGTAGAAATCATACAATGGTATATCCTGCACTTGCCATCTTTGAATTTCTTTCTTCCATGTACCTAGTATCCCTTTGGGCAGCACAACAAGGGGCCTTGCAGATGGATACCTTGCCATGAAGCTCTGAATGAAGCTTATAAGCATAAATGTTTTCCCTGAACCTGGGGCATGTGCAAGGATGCAACCTCCAGGCTTGTCTCCAATCAAATTCTTAACCAAAAAGTTGAAACCTTCCAACTGATGTGGTTTCATTGTCTGAGCATGTCTAGGATGAATAGCAACATCTGCGATTATGAAATCTTCAGACAGTTTAACAGTACCACAGTCTATCTCATCAGCATCCTTTGAATGTCCTCCATAGATATTCGTTTTCCTCCTTGAAGCCTGAAAAAAAAAAGTAGTCGTGAAAATCACTCGCTTTCTCCAATTCTATTCAGACTTTACACGCATGAAGTTTGAATTTCATGATTATAATATAAAACTGAAGTTACTTTATGAAGTTGCCAAACAGTTGCTCCTGAGCCAATACTAGCATGTTGTATATTATGTCATAACTCATGTACATCTTGACAGTAAAGCCATAACATCGACGAAAGGACAGCCACTATATCATACACAGTAACAACCATTACCCAAACAAGAGACAAAGGGTAAAATATCCCTGATTGCTAAAGAGTAAACAGTAATAACCAGATCAAAGAGATAATAGTAAAACACACCCCCTTAAGTTAGCAAGTTATTCAGGGGAGAAAAATAAAAAACACAAGCCCTCCTGTAGTCTCAGGCTTCCAGCAAAATGCCCTAATTTCAAGGTTAATCTGCAAGCAAACATTTATTTAAAAACACTGAGTTAAATCCCAATAGTTTTCTATTGTTTGATATTAGTTGGCATTGCCGACGATGATGGTTTTGATATTCTCGATAGTTTATATTCACAAGCTTTCCATGTGCACACAAGGTGAGGATGACCAAATTATCAAGGCGGACTATAGAACTTGTGCATATCAAGTAGAATAGGAAGATAAGCTAACAAAGTGTTCAAAAGTTAAAACTGTAAAGAGTATGTGAACAAGTATGGAACTAGTGCATATCACATGAAATGAGCAGATAGGCTAACAGCACAGGTGTTCAAAACTTGAAACTATAAGGTGCATGAAGTAGAACTAAAGAATTAAAACTAACTACCAAACATTTTGCCAAAAAAATAAAGAACACCCCAACTCGGTGACTGTGCTTAGAATTTTCACATGGCAAAAACTACATGCTTGTATAAAAAAACTTTATTGCAAAACGAACTAGAGCTGGAAAAGCCTCATATATCTTAAAGAAATTACAAACCTTTTTCCACTGATAATCAATTATTGAATCAGCTCTTCTCACAATCATACCACACACACGGCACACATGGCCCAAATCTTCATGAATCCGAATGTCATGATTGCAGTCGATGTCCTCCATCTTTCCATCATCTTCCTTTTCATTTGCCGCCTCATCAACTTCGTCAAGCTGGACCAATAAATATAACCAAATCACAAACAGTACAAACTGGTGACCAACAATTGAACTGAACAGTAAGGAATGCATTTTTCAACACTTTAGCTAATGAATCTCAGTACATTATTTAAACACTTAGCTCTTGTATAATGAGAAACCCCCTTTTCTTGGGAATTATCATTTCACAATACAAGTCACAATTGTAATCAAGGTGTAGTCGTTGTTACGGTCGTCCATGAAAATTACCACAATACCAACAGCCAAAAAGTTCTTGGGATCTTTTGTTTACTTGCAGTTACACATGGTTGACTTGACCTTACATTGAAAAATCGAGTGTATTTCTTGCCAGCAAGCAGGCAAAATATGATGTATTAGCAAGAAAATGCTCCAAAGAGATCAGTGTTCAGTCTTCAAAAAAAGATGATACAACATGTACTCACAAGCAGAACTAGCAGTCAACTGGGGAAAAAAAATTAAAGATGTTCATGTGGTGCTGCAATATAAATCAAATTCTGTGGTTGACACTCATACCTTTGTGCTTTCAACAGCCAATGCAAAATCTTTCCAATAATCCTCAAGACCATCACTTTCGTTTTTATGTTTCTCTTCTTCCTCTATAGCCATGTCAGGTTCAGGTTCTGGTGATGTAGCAGGTTGTTGTAAATCCAATGACAAATCAGCTGCTGCTAGATCTGTGTCACCTTTTCTTCTTTGTTTAGGGACAAATGAGTCGAGCATCAGCAAACTGAGGTCTGATCTCCTTCGCTTTTTCTCCGTAGGAAGTGAAAGGAACATTTGTGTTTCTGCTCTCTTCTCAGCTATGCTAGCAGCCTAGAATGAGAAACATGAGCTCAGAGTTGGAATGCAGAGTCTTTCATCATGGTACACATATAGTAGAATAAGCACAACAACAAAGATTTATAGAAGTTAATATTAGTTTTTTTTCTCTAACACGTAGGAGAGCTACACATCATTATCTTAAAAAAAAAGGGCGTACCCAGTGCAGAGAGCTCCCGCTCTGTGCGGGGTCTGGGGAAGGGTGTCAGTGGCAAGCCTTACCCTCGCCTGTGCAATGCGAGGAGACCGCGACTCGAACCCGGGACCTTCCAGTCACATGCGGTAAGACTCTACCGCTTGCACTAGGCCCGCCCTTCTGCACATCATTATCTTATTTAGTAAAAAAGATAATATTAATTTAACAAACTGGAATTGGAAGGTCATACCACAAGATCTTGCATTCGCTGCTCCTCAGGCCTTTTTTGCAACACAACTCTCTCAAACTGAATAGATGGTTGCCAACTGGTTTGCAAAGGAAACTGATTCACTAAAGCAGAACCTTGACCATATGGAACAATCTGCGAAGCAGAACCTTGACCATATAGAACAATCTGCGTGTTCTTGTCTCCATAAGCATGCATAGTTTCAAATGCTTGGCTCTTATTAGACGCCATCCTTTCTGTGACATTACTAGCCACTTCAGATGTTCTGAGTTCTTTGTTCACCCCAGATGCCAACTTATTGTATTCTGAACCGTTTCCATCCTCATCATCTGAATCAAGAACTATTATGTCACCCTTTTCTTTTTGTTCAGTTGGCTCCATGATTTTGCCAGCTAGCACAGAATTTCCAGAGGCACTTTCCAGACCAGCAAGGAAGTTGACCAATTGAAGCTTGCGGTGACGAATGTTGTCCCAATCCTTCTTCATACTACCAAATACCAAATTGGGGCTCCTATCTGCATCAGGAAGTGCATGACCACCGGAATACATTGCAGCTATGGGTGTAAATACATGGCCACTGCGCTCAGAAGGCTTCCTCTGCCTGCTGTAATATATGCCTACAAACACAGGAAGTTGGTCACATATCAGTATCACAGGAGTATTCGTTTTTCCATACACACAAACACACACAATAGGGGACAACCCCTCCGGTTTCCTCAGAGAAAAACACATCATGTTATAGGAGAGAAAGGTCAAGAAAAACTATTGAATACGCGAGTAGTGATTGTGCTGATCATTTTCTATGACAAGCATCATCAATCTAAATGAAAGGGGATGAATAAGAATTAAACAGATTTCTTCAACCCTACAACATGGGACATGAAAGGGGAGGAATAAGAATCCAACCTTGCCCTGCATTCTAGCATCGATGGCCTCGATTCCTGATGATGACTACATACATACATACAGAAACCGATAGGGCCATAAAAACTCTGCACGCACAACAGCATATTGGCACGGACGAACCGCTTCCAGATGACACAGAGATGAGAAACGGATTCTCGGTCGCGGCGGAGCCAGGGTTTTCTAACACCGGGTATTCCCGAGACAGAGACCTCGAATCAATCGATCTACGCTTCTGCATTTGCCAAAGCTCCACGATCTAGACCCCCCAAAAAAAATTCGAACACATATTGCCATATTGGTACTGATCAACATCGTGCTAAACGGCATAATGGCATATTGGCATACAGAAAGTGATGGAATCAAAAACTCTGCAACCACAACGGCATATTGGCAATTTGGCATGGACGAACCGCTTCTAGATCGCGCGAATCGGTGGCGGAGCGAGGGTTTTTCTAATACGGTATTCCCGCGACAAAAAAAGAAAAAAGAAAAAAAAAACTCGAATCAATCGATTGATGCTTCTGCATTTGCTAAAGCTCTACGATCCAGAGAAAAAAAAATCGATTGGGGGTACCGATCAGCATCGGGGTAAACATACCTTCCCGTCCTCCCGGTGACTGAGACATCGTGAGTTGATGCGTCTCGCTTGCCTGCGTCTTACGGTTGCGGGCGGCTTCCGGGGGGCTCAGAGGTCGCGCGGGCGCACCGGCAGCCAGGAGTAGTCGTCGCTATCGCTACCCGCCATGGCGATTAGGGTTCAATCGATTCGAGGATTGGGGATTTTAGGAGGAAATGACGAGGAGACACAGCAGAGAGAGTGAGTGCAGATGCTTGAAAAGAAAAAGGACGAGGAAATAACAAGGTGCAGAGAGCGAGCATACCGTACCTCGTGACTCGTGCGTCGCGTCCTCGTGTCGTGTGACCCTGCGCGCATCAGGTGAAGGGACAAGGTGCCATCTGGGCCGAAGAATCTGGACCATGAAGGCACTGGGCAGCTGAGCGCTATGGGCCGCGGGTGGTGTTCAAGGAGAGGGCAGGGGCGCGAGGCTGGGCTGAGGGAGGCGGCTGGGCCTCGCGGGCCAAGGGCAGAAACAGGCCGGAAACAAGGAAGAAAATGGAAAAAAGGAAAAAGGTTTTTCTTTTAAAATAGATTTTTAACTACTTTCCCAGACTATTTAAATTCGAAAACTCCCAAACTTTTATAAATTATTTTTAAATAAACTTTTAAAACCTATTTTAAATATTTGGTCCTTTGCAAATATATTTTTAAAAACCTTTTAAAAATATATTTAGAGAAATAGTTTAAAATAGCACTTTTTGGAATATATTTTAAACTCTATCTTGAAAACCCATTTTATAAATCTTGTTTCAAGTGATCATTTTCAAACTATTTTTCAATAAATTTTATTTGACTTTAGTTTTCAAGCCAAAACAAAATATTTTTAAACCTTTTTCAAACTAAAGTTTGTAACAAATTTGACCTTGTTTTTGTTACATGTCTTTAAAGTATTTTAAAATTTTAATCCCTTTTCTAAACATGGTTTAAATCATATTTAAAATATAATTTTTAAAATTTTGCAATTCAATATTTAACTTATTTTTTGAACTAGTTTTTGAAATAAAGTTTTGAAGCTTTATTTTTTTTAAAATAACGCAAAACTATTCATGGTTTAATCAAATTTTAGAAATCTATTTTTTCACACAATAAAATAAGTACAAAGGCATGAATGCAAACAAACAAATTACATTGACTTGTAAAACTTCTGTAAACCATATTTTCACTCTTTGAATTGTCAACATACTAAATAAATCTTGGAAATTTTATTATATCACTGATTTCATTTTTTTTATTCACAACCTACAATGGAATTTTTGGGATGTGCCTATACGGAGGTGAGCAGTGGCAGGGGCAGAGTGTTCATCGGCGTGGAGTGGGTGGCGGTGGTAGGGGCACAACACGGACTAGTCAGCCATAGTCCACAACAACCCAGAGAGAGAGAGGGAGAGAGAGAGAGTGGAGGGTAGTTGACATGTGAGCCCCATATATCAGTATGCCACATTCTATTAAACATGGGTCTAGACCCATTTGGAGTTCCTTATATGCCATCAAAACATATACTTATATCCCTTTTATGCCATCAAAAAATATAGTTTCCCTTCAATACCATAGTTTTTTTCTCTGCTTATATACTAGGGTCTATATTTCTTATACAGAACAATGTACCATCGATAAGATATATACTCAAATGACTGATGCCCAGCCGATGGCCCATATATTATTTTATATATGCTTCCTTCGGCCCACCTGTTGAATGTGTGGTCTAGTTATCCAACGAATTGGATTATCCAATCCACATATTTTACTTGTTAACAAATAGGGTAGAGCTCATTCCTAGGAATTATCTAACCCACACATATTTATTTATTGCTTCTTTTAACCAAAAAGTGGAGCATTGGACTGTATATATCATCTTGTTTCATATTCATTGTTCCATTCAAAATATTTTTAGGTAATAACTACAACTTTTTTTTAAGTTGCGGACAGCAGGCGGAGGAGTTGAATAAAATCTTTTCCTCTCCTCATTGGGACCGTTCGTTAGCAATTCTCATCAGTGATAAACATACTAGGCTGAATCCAATCCACATATTTTACTTGTTAACAAATAGGGTAGAGCTCATTCCTAGGAATTATCTAACCCACGCATATTTATTTATTGCTTCTTTTAACCAAAAGGTGGAGCATTGGACTGTATATATCATCTTGTTTCATATTCATTGTTCCATCCAAAATATTTTTAGGTAATAACTACAACTTTTTTTTAAAGTTGCGGATAGCAGGCGGAAGAGTTGAATAAAATCTTTTCCTCTCCTCATTGGGATCATTCGTTAGCAATTCTCATCAGTGATAAACATACTAGGCTGATTCGCGCGCTTCGCTGCGCGCACTAGGGAGGGACGAGAAAAGATTGAGCAGCACCAAACAGTGATCGAAGCCCGGAGAAGCAAAGAAAAAGAAAAAAAAAAAAAGAAAAAAAAAAGAACAAGGGCATAGCCCCGAGAAGAAGAAAAAAAGAAAGGAAAAAACGAAAAAGTGAAAAAAACGAAAAAGGAAAAAAAAAGAAAATAGGAAAAAGTGAACAGTAGCAGAAGGCTGAGGAGGCCGGGATTCCTAGGCGGAGGAGTTGAATATATACAGACTTCGATATTCTATTAGTTATAGTACTGTTACATGTATATACTACTTTCTCTGTCCCAAAATATAAGATGTTTTGGTATTTTCATATTCATAATTTTTACTGTTTGTATCTAGATATAACATATATCAAGGTGCATAGCAAAACCTATAAATATAGAAAAGCCAAAACGTTTTATAATTTGGAACGAAGGGAGTATTAATTATGTACATGGCATTATATTTACACCATGTGAAGGCTTACAAACTAGGTCGTCATATATATGCATGGTGATGCATGCCACGCATGTGTGCACGACTCTATCTCATCCAAATCATCACATATATAGACACGTCACACACACACGCATGCATGTAGTTACACACGCGCGCGCTATCTCTCACGAAGAAGAGAGAGAGCTTTATTACGGTCCCATGGATGCATATAGATCCTTGGTTCTACAATACGTGGATAGTAATCTGTATATATGCTTCCCATAGCAGTTTTGGTTGGTGCTTGTCTTCGTCGTCGTCGTCGTCGATGACTGGCCGCCGTCGCCGACGATGCCGACGCCATGATCAGAACAGGAACGCCGTCGGTGCGAACGCTGGCATGGACGACGCGCTCTCAAGGTGCCTGTGCAAGCAAGCATGTATCGTGTTCTCATATTAGATCGAGTCATCGACAGAGAAAAAGGAGAAATAGCGTCGAGAAACCCATAGAAAATGGTCGCCGAGAGGAAATCAAGGATCCAAGGCGATGAATCTCCATCATATGTTGTGCCCGACGATGCAACTGCCGATATTTTTTCATCGATTCATATGCGTTTTGGACGGGTGAACATTGGATATTGCGGCTTATCCAATATTTTAGAGAAGAGATATGGACTGCACTCTGGCTTCGATGTTCGACAAGAATCTGTTCATCTAGAGCATGGACTGCATCGAGAAAAACCACTAGAGAGAAGACGATGAAAGAATATGGATATAATATTATACCTTATTTGTTTTAGATTTTTTCATGTACTACGCTGAATTTTAATATATATAATTCCCTCCTTCCTTTTGGGAAAAAAATTCATAGGAAATGGTATAGTGACATATTTACCTGTATTCATCGCTGCGCGCGCGGGGCAGCACCCGGGCGACGTCCCAGGACGCCGCCTTCCTGGCAAGACAGGCCCTCGCCGGCCCGCCGGCGGCCTTGGCCGCGTCGGTGCTGTACTCCTCGTAGATGTCCCCAAGCGAGGGGCGCCACTGCGCGGCACCCACGGCGGACCTGTTGGCAATCCTCCTCCGGCGCCTCCTCGCGGCGGTGGCGGCGTCTCCGGCAGCAGCGGCGTGGTCCACGGGCGGCGTGTCGTCGACGGGTCCAGCACGGCAGCCAAAGGGCACGAACGACAGGAGCCTCATCAGCTTCCTGCGCACGCTCCCCTCTATTTTGGCCCCCGGCCCGCCCTCCGGTGCTCTCTCTCTCTTGGCTCTCTTTCTTGTTCTATATCTCTCGTTCCTGGCCAGTTTCTCTCTCTCTCTCTCTCTCTAACGCTGCGGCGGCGGCGGCGAGACCTCGACGGCGCCTACTGATCGGCCGGAGGAACGAATGAATGCCAACCGGCAATGAGTGGCTAGCAGAGAGCTGAGCGACGAGCGAGCCGAGCGGCTGTGTGTGAGGGGATTTCACGTGATCAGGTGCTGCTTTATAGAGTTCTCCAAGGGGGTTAAGATGACTGAAATGCCCTCTGATCCTGTGGGGCCGTCGGGGTCAATTTTGGGATCGTGAAATCTTGAGTGGCTACAATGAAAACGACGGACATGGATGGCATGCAGGGCAGGGCAAGGTAATACATTTTTTTGAAAGCAAAGGTAATACATTTTTTAGGGAAACTAAACTATATTTATGCGCGTGAATATATAATATATGTAGGTGCTTCGCTTTCCTAAATCGTGTGACGCAAACAGTGTTACACGTCGACCATGGGCTCATGGCATGGGCGTTGGGTGGGACTGTGTATGCGTTAGATGTGAAAGTCGACTACACCTATAAGAGCATCTCTAACAATAGGGACTTAAAAAAGGAGTCCTTATTTAAAAAAAACTTATAATTCAATAAGGTACCAACTCAAATCCCTACCTTATAGAGGCTCCTAATTTTTTTCGTTAGTATCATCCTTCAGGATGCGTAGTGAAGCTTCCTACTTCCTACGAAAATTTTTCATACACTAACTCTCTCCCACACTTTTTTTGTGCCGACTCTCTTCCACGCTATCACCAAGTCCAAGCTCACACCTTCCCGTCAAGGTCCTCCTCCCTAGCGAGCCCCTCATCCCCAGCTCCTCTCAGCGAGCCCCTCACCCCGCTAGGCGGCGACGGGAGCAGAGGAGCCCCTCAATGAGCCCCTTGTCCTGCTAGGCGAGGATGGGAGCAGGGAAATAATAGGAGAGATTTTCTTTTAAAAAACAATTAAGAGTAATATGATTAGCAAATAGACCCAAAAAAGTAGAGACCCAAAATTGACAACAACTATTGGAGTTGAGCCTAGTAAACAATGCCCTTAAAATAGGAGAAGCTCTAAAATCCCAAGTATAAGAGGTTTTGTTTTAGGGGATCATTGTTGGAGTTGCTCTAAACACATGCTTTGGCACACACGGAAACAGTATCCATATTAACCTAAATTTGCAAAAAGTAGCGATCAAGAATGTAAGGTTAGATACTGTATCGTCTCCTACATGAGAAGTAAAATGAAAGGACACCTTTAATTACCTTTTTGTAGTGATATACATAGTTGTTCTAGAAGCATTTGTGGAAGAGGTGGTGGCATTGGTTTCTTCTCGTGTTTAGCATAAAACACCAGAAAAGGTTGGTTGATCATGTGCAGGAGTTCTAGTTCAGGGATTGAGAAAGATCCAATGTTGATGTTAATATCAACAACTTTGCGCTATTATTGTGCACCAAATCACTAGAGTTTTGGAACACGTGGTCAAACAATCTGAAGTTTTGATCTATATACAAGTATCCTCCATGTTTTAGTCATGCCAGAGTGTCCGTGTAAGCTAATAAGAATCTTGTAATAAATACTCCCTTCGCCTAGAATGATATATAATCGTATTTTATCCAAAGAAAAGTCAAATTTTACATAATTTAGTTCAATTATATACAAGTTTAGAACATAAAATTTGCATCAATAGATTTCTATTCAAAGTGCCCGACTCTGAGACGATATTGATCTTTAGCAACTAACAACATATTGTAAGGGAAATTTTTTTTGTATGTCTTTCCCCTAATCAAAATACGTTTATCATTTCAGAACGAAGGAGGTACTTCATAGTACAAATAAAGAGAATGAATTCCACAGAATTACAGCTATTCATGGTACTATTCCAAAACTTAGTATTGCAGAGGTAGCTGAAGTTTTAAGAGGCAGTTGTAATTATACTTTTTTTTAGGCAGAGGCAGCTGTAATTATACTGTGCTAGGTGTTAAAATAGTTGTAGTGTTTGTGACACATGTTAAAATAGATCAAAATATATTTTTAATTATGTGAAATCAACTTTAAAATTAAAACAACAGAAACAAAAAAAAAATCAGGACTTAGACAAAGGCAATCTGATCTACGCGATTGACATCTTCCTCCGACCTCAGCAAAGGGGTTTGGGATAAGAGAATTATTTAGGTTTTTCGATTATTGTTTTTTTAAATATGTGTTATGGGATTTTTAGAATCTCACCTGTTTGGGTGTTAGTTTTTTTTAAAAAATCAGATACGCCCCCCCCCCCCCCCCCCCCAAAAAAAAAAAAGAGTCCAGCCTTTTCCTTCTTACTGTGTGGATTAGCTTCAGCTACACCTGTGCTATGTAGTTGCTATAGGTCACTGTCTCATTTTGGTTTGGTTCAAGTCACTGTTGACGCATTCAAACACCACCCCATTTAAGATTTGGATATAAACAGCCGTGGTGTAGTCCACGTAGCTGGACTGGACGAGGTGCTTTGCCTGCGACACCGGGCACCTCTCGCCGTCACTTTGATCTCGCGCTGCCCATATCTGCAGCGAGCGCACGACCCCCTGAAAGGCACCCGAGGCAGTCCGGCCACCTCAATTCACACCGGCTCCGCCCGGATCACCTGGAAATCTCATCGCCGACGACGAAGCTTGTGGCGCCGGATCACCTGGATATCTCATCGCCGACGCCGATGACAAAGCTTGTGGCGCCCATGCTCGGACTCGACAGGGACGACACACTGGCCTAGGGTTCCCGATGGCGAACCTGGCCAGACCACGGAACAGTGGAAGCATCTACAGGAGCAGCAGAGGCCACACCATTGAGACTTGAACACCCAGACCATAGGTATACGTGACACTGTGACAGCACAGCACACAGCAGTTTCGTGCATCACCAGCTTGCTGGTTGCGGGTACACCAAATGGAGACACCGGCATCAGCAGGCAAAGCGCACCAATGGTGAAATCAACAGCATCAAACCATATCAAGCAACACGAGCCCAAACCACTTCTGGAAACCATGTGGGCAAATCAGAAGCCAGACGAGAACAGCACGCAACAACAAAAGATGATCATGCACTGCTGATCAGATCACGGATGAAATGTGCTGCACAGATCAGCCCAGAACCGACCGACCGCTCCCACCGGACGTCCTTACTGAGATGCCGCCAGAGTCGTTATCATATGCACATGCCACAAGCTGAGAAGAGTGACGACAATTCAACCAAACGACATCTCCACACAGCATGACAAGCACAACAGCTGGCATTATTCGCAAAGGTTTTCGGCTGTTTTCTCGAGTGTTGCAGAATACCTTTTGTTTTGGTCCGTATCCAGATCTACTACAACTACCACTTCATGTGGAAGACATGGACGCGAGCGAACGACCACCCAAACACGGTAGGAATATTGGAACGGCAAGGGCATTCACACCTGGGACACCACGCACAATGTATCTATATGGATTAGATGCTGAATTGACGGCCTCTCAATCCGCAGAGAGCCCTGAGCCTCAGGCTGGATGGGGGCTCTCATGATATTACTTCATCTACTGTGCACCCCAGGAACTTGATGGAGCACCCCATGATTGCTGCGGCTGCGAATTCGTCTCTGCTTGCTCCGGCGGTGCTCTGGGTCTAGCGTATTCCGCAAAAATAACCCATCCATCAAGGAACTGCACAAAAAATGGAGCTGTCAGGGGGCCGTGGGAAGGGAGAGAATTGCATATCAGGATGCATTGAAGCATGGCTATACAAGAAAGAAAACAAACTTTGACATGCTGCTCATCAATATCTTTCATAAAGATTAAGACTAAGACACATGATAGTAAGACTGAATTTTGCTCAGAAACCATATTCAGTCTTGGTATAATCAGAAGAGGTACACACTTAAAAAGCTAACCCCTTCAGATACCGTCCTAATAGAATCCTCACGGCTAATATAAAGAACAAGCATGATCCAAAAATGGAGACAGAAGAAATCTGTGCAAGGAAACAGGAAAGGGCAATCCCAACACCATAATAATGTTTGCATTTGTAAAGTAAAGAATGTAACTACATCAATCAGGTTGAACAAAAAAGGGGCAAATCATTGGCTGGGTTCCTCGGAGGCATGGTTGGATTTGCTCAGAAACCATATTCAGTTTTGGTATAATCACAAGGGTTGCACTTAAAAGTCATACCCTTAAGATACCGTCCTAATAGGAGTCCTCACGGCAAACATAAAGAGAAGCATGATCCAAAAAGAAGTCCTCATGGCAAATATAAAAAACTCGACCGGGGGGGTTAAGACTGCCCCCGCAGCATTACAAATAAGGACCTTCTCACCCGGCCGAGAAAACCCCCGAACCCCCGCCCCCACCCTTACACGGTGGCTTTCCGTCGCCCAAGTGAGAATTGGGCGGTGCCACCCCCCCCAAAGGCTTTGGTTATGGGGACGGACGAGGGGATTTTTTTAACCTCAGCCTGAAATTCGCTCCCACGGGGAGTTGAACCTAGGACCTGAGGAGTGCCGCTGGGTCACCTAACCGTTTGAGCTAGGCGCCCTTTGGCTCCTCACGGCAGATATAAAGAACAAGCATGATCCAAAAATGGAGACAGAAGAAAGCCCTGGAGACAGGAAAGGGCAATCACAACACCATAATAATGTTGGCATTGGAAAGTGAAGAACATAACCACATCAGTCAGGTTGATAAAAAAAAGGGAATCATTGGCTGGGTTCCTCAGAGGTATGGTTGGATTTGCTCAGAAACCATATTCAGATTTGGTATAATCAGAAGGGCTGCACTTAAAAGTCATACCCTTAAGATACCATCCTAGTAGGAGCCCTCACAGCAAACATAAAGAACAAGCATGATCCAAAAAGAAGTCCTCACGGCAAATATAAAGAACAAGCATGATCCAAAAATGGAAACAGAAGAAAGCTGTGCCTGGAGACAGGAAAGGGCAATCACAACATCATAATAATGTTGGCATTGGAAAGTGAAGAACGTAACCACATCAGTCAGGTTGATTAAAAAAAAGGGAATCATTGGCTGGGTTCCTCAGAGGTATGGTTGGATTTGCTCAGAAACCATATTCAGTTTTGGTATAATCAGAAGGGCTGCACTTAAAAGTCATACCCTTAAGATACCATCCTAGTAGGAGTCCTCACAGCAAACATAAAGAACAAGCATGATCCAAAAAGAAGTCCTCACGGCAAATATAAAGAACAAGCATGATCCAAAAATGGAAACAGAAGAAAGCTGTGCCTGGAGACAGGAAAGGGCAATCACAACACCATAATAATGTTGGCATTGGAAAGTGAAGAACGTAACCACATCAGTCAGGTTGATTAAAAAAAAAGGAATCATTGGCTGGGTCCCTCAGAGGTATGGTTGGATTTGCTCAGAAACCATATTCAGTTTTGGTATAATCAGAAGGGCTGCACTTAAAAGTCATACCCTTAAGATACCGTCCTAATAGGAGTCATCACGGCAAATATACAGACCAAGTATGACCCAGAAGAGAACACAGAAGACAAAACTGTGCTAGGAAACAGATAAGGGCAATGCCAATAATATAATAATAATTTTGGCACAAGAAAAGCAGCAAATGTAATTACATAAATCAGGTTAATTGCAAAGGGTAAACATTGATTGGGTTCTTCAGTGTAACAGCTAGATTTGCTCAGAAACCATATTCAGTTTTGGTATAATCAGATGGGATGCAACAAAAGTTGTCCCCTTCAGATACCGTCCTAATAGGAGTCATCATAGCAATCATCCATAGACAAGATTTACATGTACAACAAATCAAAATCAAAATATTACTAGAAAGCTACAGTATCTTAAGATACAAACAATGATAGGACCAGCATAATAGTTTTGCTGAAAAATCATCTGATTTTCAATATAGGCAAACAATTGTTGTCAAAATAGCTCATGTTCACACACAATAAAATTAAAAGGATTTAGATAGCAGCAAAACATTTAATACAAGGAGCATATAAAAACAAAAGCAACAAAAAGCTTTGACAGAACTACATGGAACGGAACAATAACAATGAGCATATGGGTTTTATTGCAATATAAAGTTTGCTCATATTTTCAATTGAAGTTCTGGATGTAATCATGCAAGGAATGGCCTTTCGAGAACCACCTCGCTCATATACCGCCCTTTTACAGATCATCACAGAAGCCAGGGATGAAATAAAACTGAAACCTAAACGATAAAATATTAAAACTTGCACACTACTCATGCTTTTCAACTATAGGGACTAGAATGATGTAAGCAGAAGCAGTAGTAACTAGAAAGGGTCATACCCATACCGAGATGCATAGTAATGGAAATTCAAGTTGGCCACTTAGCCCACAAATTTAACTTCACATTTTTACAGTACAATCACAGCATAGTTTCATTTATGTGATGGCCATGTGTCTGGGTCGAGCAAGATTAAGCAGAGACAGTAGTTGCTAAGTTTGACACAAATAGTGAGAGCCATATACTTGTGAGGAACCAAATTGGCACCAAAGTCGGCCTCATGGTAAGAGAAAATGTCCATAAAATTATGGTAATTGGTAGGTAATCTACAGTTCACATATAACAGGCCCTGTTATCAAGGTTGCAAAAGGGATGGCCCAACCTATCCTGGTCCACTATGCAATGGAAGATTAAAGGCTCTAGGGCCAACAATAATATTCTGTTTGTCCCAACCAATGGGCCACACAGGCCAGAACAATTTTTTGAGCTTGTGGGAAAGTGCAATGAGGTTGCACTATTGAAAAATAGAACTCTCTAGTCCATCAAACATTTGGAGTTCCTTTCTTTTGCATTTGTCACTACCAAATAACGTTCCTGCTCTACAATGGTATTGCAATTCACACTGAACAGATCTGGTGCTTAGTTTTTGAAACAAGGTATTGCAGGTAAATAACTATATTGCATTACTACAAGCCATTTCGATAGCCAAGCCAAGTCATTTTCAAGGGAAGAAGTGAAATATGAAGAGATCCATTGTAAAAAGAAGATAGAATTGAGTATATGGCTCAGAGAACCTTTCGCCGAATCACATCATGCTACTACCATCCCACTCCTAGAAGACAAGAGGCTCATCATATCTGGGAAACTGGGAGGCAGCCGTAAGACCGGCCTTTCAGATCTCATCACTGTCATTTCATAACATAAAGACAAAGCAGTAGCAGACACAAAAACTGGGATGCCTCCCAATTGCCACTAGCTGGGCATACAATTGGATCAGAGTCATCTTCACCAGTTCTCACTATGCATCAGGCAGCAGAGAACACACTGAAGGGAAACAATCAAAAGGCATGACATCAAGGAACAAATGCCTAGGGTTGATGGAAGTGTCTACCTGGTGTGGCAGACTCACCAGAAGAGAGGCTACAGGCATGTGACCTCAAGCAGACGAAAGAATAGTCAGACAGGAAGGAACAAAAGAATGGGTCAAATCAAACAGAGGCTATGGACTGTGTCCACCGTACAAACACAAGAAATCTATGCTCCGCGCATAGTTCGCACTAATGTTTTGCCCCATCAGAGAGACTTTTTAGGTAGGAATGCTGCAGTCCAGAAATCGACAGCAGCAAGCACTATAAAACAGCACTCCTTCAATTTATATAAGACAAAATAAATGTAAAGTAACCATACCTTTCCATCCATTCCTTCTATTCCTTTAGTTGCCTCTTCAGTCATAGCATACCTTACAAAGCCAAATCCCTTAGAAAACCCACTGACACGGTCGGTCACAACTCGAGCTGCAATTGGAAGAGAAATGAGAAGCTTCAAATCCTTAGCGCAAAAAGGATGGCAAAGGAAGGAGAAAACCATACCATGCACAACTTCACCGAACTTCGCAAAGGCATCTCTAAGTCCCTCAGTTGTAGTACGCTTGCTTAATCCTGCAAATTAGAAGCTGAAATCAGAATTGAATGGGAACATCAAACATACACTACAGGGGAAGAGACAGAATATCCTATTTCTAATTCTGTAATAAAAGTGAGCTCAATACTGCCATCTTTCTTTTGTTAAGACTAAAAAATTAGCAACATCCAAATCAATTAGATGTCATTTTCTGTGATGACTTCTGGTGTTAAAGTATAGCCACACTGTGTTCAAGTTGTGCATTTAGGTCATTGTCGAGTTTCACTAGTTTCAAACTATGAAGTTCCTTGTATGTTCACAATGACGAACTAAGGTGGCTAATACATTTCATCCCCCAAGTGCAGACGATTGAAACTATGGTATGACAGGGAAATGACCAGGGATTTCAATTATTGGGCTCCCCCATTCTCATGTGATCTGGTTCTAGTATCTTGTGGGCAATTTTTTCTGCCAATTTATTTACTTGGTAGCCAACAACACCTATGATGGGGTAAGTAAATGGAAACTAAACTAATCACCAGCAGTATAGAAAACCCTAGGCTGGAATGAAGAAAACCTACATGGTCATTCTCCAGCAACGTGGATGGATAGGCTGTGCTTCCATTCGCAATCAGTACACAAATCAAAATTTTACCCAGATTTCTGAGGAGCAAGCTAACAATTAAACCATTTCTATACATTAACCAGGACGAGATCCAGCGCCATCAAACCTAACGGACAGGTGAAATCACGGCCGCACGACAATCCACCAACGCCAGAGATTCAATATTCGAGCCAATCGAGCTAAACCAATAGAGGAGATCGCCGCCATAGGCTTCAACAGAAAAAGGGAAACAGGAGAGAAGGGAGGAGGAGCCGCACCGGAGACGAAGAGGTTGGGGGAGGGGTCGGCCTGGGGGCGCGGGGCGGGCGCCTTCGGCGGCGCGAAGGCAGAGACAGAGAACATGCGCCGGAACCCCGACCTCGCCACAGCCGCCGCCATCGCCGCCGCCGCCGCCGGAACTTTGGTGCAGAGAGGCTGGAGGTGGAATTAGGGATACGCCGCCACTGCTAAACCTGGGGGGTTTAAGAGCTTTCTAGGGCGCCGCGTTAAATGACCATTCTACCCCCTCCGTGGCGGCGGCAGGGTTTTACTCTGAAATTGACCAGAATACCCTCCTCTCGTTTTGCTTCTCTTTTTCAGCAAGCAATATCTCGTGGCCGTCGGATTAGCAGCTGAATGACTGAGATCTTCACTGCCCGGGTCCTCGTTTAGGCTGTTTGGACATATCGTTTTACATTTTTTTTTTTTGCGAATATCGTTCTACAAAATTCATGCGAAACATTTGAACATAATGCCAAGTCTGATAGTATAGTTCTGAAATTTTCTCATAATTTTTAACGTAAATTTCTTTACCACAGGATTCTCAGTAAATTGTGGAACAAGAGACAACCAAGCCTGATACGATGTGTTTGCTGGCTGAAGCAGCACAATTCAGCAGATACTGTTTTTACCCAGCAGCAACGGCTGCAGCAACCGTTCTAAAAGTGCAGCGGAGCACAACCAAATACGAGATGAATGAACAGTTCTTCAACAAAAGCAGAAGTTGAGCAATTCTTCATTAAATTCAACCGAACAGTTGACCTCGTTAGTTCTAATGGCTGGCCAGCTAGGCCATTCCATTACAAACCAACCTCCTTGGATAAAAAAGATTAACGATCGATGATTTAGAGTTCAGGAGTGTGAGAGAGAGCATCGAGATTCATATCCTACGATCAAACATTAGCCAGCATTTCACAATGACACAATCCAGTGCGCACAGAAACACATCAGATTCAAAGGACCTGCAAATCTCACTTAATTCAGCGATCGGAACATAACAATACGAGTATGAATTATGATCCCATGGCTAAATGCCAACTTCATTCAGTCTAAACATGCCCTGAGGGAAAAGCCACACATTTCACACAATCAGCAATACAGCTAGACCAGTCGGCATCACACATTTCACTAGGAGTCCGTTGAATAGTAGGGTTTTCAGTTTCTGTCACACCTAGCTCAAAATATCAGCACACACAACCACGTGATCCAGATACAAGCTGCCCAGGCTGCTTGGACAGTACCGCATGACATTTTGGGCTGATGATGGATCTGCCTGTACTGTCCGTATGTGGTGCCAAAGTGCCAAAGTGACAGAATTAGGTGCGCTCTTTTGTTCTAGTAAGTATGTGGAAATGCCTGCAAAACTGATACAAGAAGCACCGGGTTAAGTTTAGACACCAGTCTGAACATATGGTTAGATTTGAATGCATTTTTCTACCTCATCATGAAGATGCTGACTCAGTCTGAGGCGCCTGTTGCCTTGGTTTCCTGCTGGCTGGGGGGCCATCTCTTCGCCTCTCATACCGTCTACTCTCATACTTGGATGTTCTCCGCTCCTTTGGTTGGTAGGTTGGGTACGTGCAGGGAATTATCTCACCGTTGATGTACTTGTCACCTGAATGAATGGAGAAAAGCAACAAGGGTTGAACAACTTGTGATGAAAGAAGCCAGAAGCATCTAAAAGTGCCGCTGCATGCAGATATCAACAGGACGACAGCGCTGCACTGACCTCCGTAGTCCTTGTTTTTCACATCGATGTAGGAATCAGGAAGCACCCACAGAACACCAGGCAAACCTACAGGAATAGGAATGACAGCTTCAGCCAGGGCCATCCAAAAATGTTTCGAACAATTGGTTAGTTGGTTTAGTCAATTGAGGATTTACCCTTGAACTTCTCTGACGTCTCCTCATCGACAGTGCACTGGAACCCAGTGTAAGTGGTTGTGCTGAAGGCATACATGTTCTTCTTGGCTTCCTCCATGCTGCCAAATGCCAATGCAACAAAACATTCAGTCTAGAATCATATGTGCAGTTGCGCACAATTATTTGATTTAACTAAAAAGAAACCATGTCACGGCCATCTTATCAGGTCGATGAACTAGAGGACTAGTCTTTGTATGGCATCACAAAATGGTGGCACTAAACTACACAGCAGGTTACATCAGGCCGTGAAATGTCACTCTTCACATATATGTGTAGTAACCATGGAAAACGAAACTGTGTTGTATGTTCTAACCTCTAGGTGCTATCTAACTGCCACTCCCTGTGTGTATGCTAGACATTTTTCAATCTTGTTGACCAGGCAGTAGCTACCAACAAGATTAATGTGTGAGATTTGTGGGTTTCCAATACACATCCCTATCAAAACTAGAACGCTTCGTCTTTTACCCCTTTTACCCCATCACTGGTACTACAGAAAAACACAGTAGCATTTTGTTCCCCAGTCATATTGTCATTGCAATTTAGCATGTGAGCAATCGCCGCCCCAACACTGGCACTACAGAAAAATAGCATTTTGTTCCCCCAATCATATTGCCCTTGCAATTTAGCAGTGAGCAATTGTGGCACGAGCGGACTACAATTAGGCATCGGTGAGGGAACCAGTGGAGTACCTGCCGAGGACGGTGGCGAGGGTGTTGAGGTAGGTGTCGATCATCTGCTCGCGGGTGGGCGCGGGGTCCTTGGGGAACTCCATGACGATCAGCCAGTGGTTGTAGTCGCACCCGGGGAGCAGTATCGTCTCCCTCTCGTCGCCCCCGGCCCCGGCCGCCGTCGGCCTCGGCTCCCGCGGGCGGCGCGGACTCAGGGGCGCCGCCGCGACGGCGATTGCGGGGAAGGCGGCGGCACGCGGGAGTGTGGAGAAGGCGGGGGCGGACGAAGGCTTGGGCGACGGGAAGGCGAAGGCCTGGGCCGCGAGGCGCGCGGCGACGGCGGTGGTAGGGAGGGAGGCGGCCATGGGAAGCGCGCGAGGTTTTTGCCGCAAGGGGATAAGGTGAGAGCGGAAGAGAGAGAGGGCGAGTGTCCGTCTCCGTGCGCACTTTAAAGAGGACAGGACAGGATGGAGAAGATTTTTTTTTCCGAGGGTTTTTTAGCCGGCCCATTACAAGCGTGAGTGGCCGGGCCAGATGATGGCCACAGAGGTTTTCTATTTTTTTTTAAAAAAAATCTTTTTACCACCGAACTCTTTGACATGATTGATCTCTTTTTTAGCAAACTTAGGACATGTTTGATAGAAAGGCTAATTAGACAGGTGTGAAAACTAGCCTCAATTAGCTCTACTAAATATAAAGGCTAATGGATGGACTAATTTGTTAGACAAGTTTTTAACTAATTGTTAACCAATTAGCTAGTCAATCATAACTAATTTAAGTCAATTTTTTGTCCCAACTAATAACTAGCCTATATATCAAACATATTTTTAGTATAGTTTATTTAAACTTGCTTTACCCTAGACTAGACTCTAAAGCCACATCGCTGTGGAGTTGATGTGGCGATCCCACGTGACACAGGCCCACATGTCAATCTCTCACCTTTCCTTCTTTCTCTTCCCCGTTTCTTTCTTTAGCCATGGGTTGACGTCTTCAATTATTTTTTCTATCATCATGTTTTCTACCCATGGGTTGACGTCTGCAGTTATTTTTTCTACAATAATGTTGCCATTAAGAAGTTCGGAAAGGCCGGACGCCTCGCTCCACTCGCGCTGCTCGTCTAAAAAAACAAAATCCCTGTGGAATATCGTCTCCCCCATTCTGCGCTCGTGCGTCGTGGCTTCACGACGCCGTGCGGTTGTCCGACCATCCCAATCCGCCGCGCTTCCGCCTCCATCCCGCGCCGCCGCCCACCATCCCCCACGGCACCTCCGTCTACCGCGGAGAGCAGGAATCCTCCGCGTGAGGTATGTTGCCGGCCACCCCACCGCTTGCAGCTGCAACCGAACCTCGTCGCTGACTCCTTGCCCTCGGCCTCCAAGCTCCATACGCGCGCTCGACGAGTGCAGTGGCGCCTCCGTCCCCCGCCGCGCCGCCGTGCTACGTCCTTCACCGCGCCCAGGCCAGGCGACCGGGAGAGGGGTCGTCGTTGGCAAGGCCCAGGCCAGGCGTAACTGGCCGCTACCAGGCCGCGCCACCATCCTCAGTTGCCAGCTGGCCGGAACCGGCCGTCCCCCGCTCTGCACTGCGTCATACGGAAGAAGGGTGAAAAATGCAAGTTGCAAACGTCTGTTTCAAGTGTTTCAGTGGTATATTGCAGGTATTTTCATATGGATGTTGCAAAAGTAGATCGGGATGTTGCACATGTTGCAATGGTTGTACACGTATGTTGCAAACTCCTTTTCTCAATGTTTCATTTGTTTTTTATGACGTATGTTACTACAAGTGTGTTTATTTAGATGTTGCATATGTTTTTCACACATATGATGCAAGTGTTTCATTTAGATGTTGCGTATGTTTACAATGGTTTTAAGTGTTTTTTCAAATGTTCTTGCAAGTGTTTTAGACGCATGTTTCATTTGTTTTCAGTCGTATCTTGCACCTGGATGTTTCAAAACTAGATCGAGTGTTGCATCTCCTTCCTCGCCTTTCTGATGTCCCGCCTCGGTGTCAAGCTAGGGAAGGCGGAAGCAGTCCCTACTAACGTGGGCGGGTAGGCACGGAACACGAGACGAGTGGCAGCGGCGCAGGCATTTGGATAGGGGGCTAGCGTCCGGACGTCTGGGCACTAGCCACGCCGTTTTTTTCTATCATGTTTTTTTACCTTATATATGTTAGATGGTTACACACATACACGTGTTGTAAATCCACAACAGACAACCATGGCTTCCCACGGGGACCATCGCTATTATATTAGGTTTTGTTTGATATATATATAGTTACCTCAATCCACATATGTTAGGATAGATTACAACATAACTTAAACTAAATTACCACAATTCACTCTAACTCACGTGAATTGAGGTGAATACATGTGTATCAAACAAAGTCTTTAATTTTTTTTGTGTCAGTGTGTCCACACAAACACTGGGATAGGACAAAGGGCAGATACAACACTCGGGGCATATGACCGGACCCCTATTTTATTCCACTGTGGATGAATATTGTAGCCTCGGTGCGACAGTCTCCAAATTGGGCTCTTATCGCGTGCTCACTCGTTGCTAAGGGTAGCAACAAATAAAGTCCACTGGACATGCAAGGAAATTAATCAAGAGACAAAATAATTAAGGATATTTATGGGCATTCAAGTAAGAAAAGATAGAGTAATTAAGAAGCTGATATGCAATAAAAGAATAGATATTCATGGGATAAAATAAAAATCAACTATGGAAGGAAACTAATTAGATGGAACCTGAAAAAGACCAGTAAAAAACCGTACTTTGGGAACTGATATAGCACACAAGTGTTAAATACTCCCTCTATCCCAAAAAATTGTCACTGTAGGGGTGGTACTAGTCAATTTTTCTTAAATTTAACTAGATTTATATAAAATATATTAGAAATATTTATATCTCTAAATAAGTTTCTTATAAAAATATATTCAGTGATTAATCTAATAATACTAATTATGCTTCATAAATATTAATATTTATATGTATATTTGATCAAAGTTACAAATATTTGACTTTTCGGTAGAATGATATTTTTAGGACGGATTGGAGTAAAGATTTTGTCTCTTAACACCAACAAACGGGCCCTAAATTCCTTTGCAAGATGTTGGGCCTGATTGGTTGGCTACCAAAATTTGTGATGTCCAAGATTTGGCAAGCCAATTGTGAGATATTGACAAATTTTGGTTCAAAACCAAATGCCCGCCAAAATCTTGACTTCTAAGTTTTGACAACCAAATTCTGGATATCAACCAATCAAGCCCGTTGTTCCTGAGGTGCTTGTGGGCTGGAAATGGGCTAAACCAGAAGGCGCGCCAACGATGATTGCTAGCTAAGTGCCCATGGGCTGCACATGCAGCACCGGGATTACGCGAGCCTATTGATACACGGGAAAGTATTTAGTGAAAACCACTTTCTCGTAAAAATATTTAGTGAAAAAACTGTGGTGGCCTCTCCTCGACTTGTCAACAAGTTTGCCACTGTTACACGGGAAAATATTTAGTGAAAACTACTTTCTCGTGAAAACATGAAAAATCCATAGTGCATCTATCGCATTCAAACTCTTTTTTAAAAAAATTGTATGAAAATAACAAATTTCAGATGTATACGCACTGGAAGACAAATTCTCAAAAATTCTATCTTCTAGTGCATATGCAGTTGAAATTTGTTTATTTCAAATGATTTTTCTAGATGAAGTTTGACCCTTCAATTGGGTGACAATGTGTGTATATATATATATATATATATATATATATATATATATATATATATATATATGTACTATGGATACACATCGCTTTAAAATTTTCAGAAACTCCAAGTGTGTTTTTAAGAGGGTTTTCACGATTCCATGAAAAAGGTGGTTTGCACCGAATATTTTTTCCTACACAGGACATTAAACTTTTTATCACTATTAGGCCTCGTTCGGCTTACCCCATATTCGGCTTGTTCGGCTTTTTTTTTTTTCAGCCGGAATAGTGTTTTTCTCTCACAACATTTGAGCCAAAACAGCGTTTTTCAGCCAAGATTCAGCAAGTCGAACGGGACCTTAGTGTTATCATGGTCCATATAATATCTCTCATATTTAGATGTTTCATTGGTATATTGGCAAATCATTTGGTATGCCTATGCACCCCCACTATCAGCGATGAATCATAATATAGATGTAGGCACGTGAACACATACGTCCACCATATAGGTGAGTATGGAGCACCCACGTCAAGTCGAAAACTTGAACCCGGATAAACACATTTCAGCATAAAGAATCTAACCTGTTGAGCTACGTTGAGTTCATATAATGACTAGTCTCTATCCCTATCATCCGACCTTAATTTCAGCACGTAACCCGTCCTGACCGGTAAACATGAGTCTCACAAGCTCGTGAATCGTGATGACGTTCTAGTAGAAATAAATAATCTCCCTTCATCGGCCAATTCCGAACTTTGGTCATACTACCCTCTTCGACAAGTTAGGCGGACATGTTAATATCTTTGACAAGCAGGTCCACGTACTCGCTACTAGTCGCTGCTATACTTGCTTCAAACCTCAGTAACTAAAGGGAATAACTGCACGGAAGAATCTCCAGATACAAACAAAATCACCAAAACATGTATATGTATGTAGGTAGCGAACACGATGCTAATCTCTCCTGATACAAAAAAAAAAAATCGTGTGAAAACTAAAAAAACACTCGGATTTTTGTCTTGTAGTGCATATATGCATATGGAACATGTTACTTATTTCCGTATGTTGAGTTTTTGAGTCTCAACTTTAGTAACATTATATCGATAATGATACCATTAAGATGTTTGGACGGACGCCTCCCTCCACTCACTCCTGCTTGCCCAGCGACTCTATCCGCTCGTCCCGTCCACGCGTCCCGATGCTCGTTGCGCCGTTTCCTCCCTGCATCGCCGTGCCCATCCGCCCACCTACTCCGCCTCGCCACCGCTGGTCCCCCGCAGCGCTGTGCCCATCCCCTGCGGCCTCCTCCACGCTGCCTCCTCGCCGCGGGCGGCTCGATTCCCACGACCGCCTCCACCGAGCTGGCGAGCCGCGGCCGCCTCAATCGAGCCGGCGAGCCTCCACGACGGATGCTCTAGCAAGCAGATTCATGTGTTTCATCTGCCTTCAGACATATGTTGCAAGTGTTGCATCCGGATGTTTCAAAAATAGATCGGGTGTTGCATCTCTGTCTTCGTTTTTCTGCTACATCACCTTCACATCGGTGTCTCCTCCTTCTCCTCCTGGAGCCAGCTGGGCATCCGTTGCCCCCCCCCCCTCTCCGGATGTCGGGCGTAGCTAATCGCTGCAGATCACATCTTCTGCATTGCTGGCGCATGTATGTGCTTGAGAAGCGGAGGGGACGCGAGCGAGGACTCCCCACGTGCAGTCGGCGCGACGCGGGATGCAGCTGCGCTGGGGAAGACGGAGTGTAGGCGCACCGTTCGGACGTCCGCCGCATTATATACATCTATAGATACACCGTGGACCGTGTTAATGTTTTGATTTTGTTTTTTTACACCTGTAAGCATATTTTTTCTAGGAGATTTTAATGATTCTACTGAAGATATTATTTGCACCGAATATTTTTCATAACGAGCATCAATCAAAGAGAAAAGACACGTCGCAATCTGAGAGAAGAATGAGAAACATCCAATGCAATGAACCCATAAAAAGAGCCCAAACAAATGGGGCACGGTACGGTACTAGCCAACGAGTACCCCGCGCCCACTAGGCACTGCACACTGGCCGTCGTACTCGTACCACCGGTGGCGCCAATGATCCACGGCTAGTCGACAAGTGGCGCGGTAGGCAGAAGAGATCGAGATCCCCAACACGAGGACTCTTCGTAGGCGCCTTCTTTTGACAACATCCATCTGCCAACCATTGGACTTCTTTCCTCGGTCCTTGCTGCTGCTACTACTACTATACTAACGACCATTTCTTTTTTTTTTTAATCTAATATACCACCCCCTTGTCTGCCTTATCCTCTGCTTACAGTCGCTGGCGCAGGGGCCCCACTTTCCGGCTCAAGCAGTTGTGCAGCCCACATGTCAGTCAGTGACACTAACTGATGACGTTTGCCGTCTTGCGTTTTGGATTCATCAACCATGATCAACACACATCTCCTAACCATGGATGCATTTTTCCTTCTTCTGACGCAATTTATCTCCTACCTGCGTGCTCTATGTGATCCCTACCTGCCAGCTCTGCAGGGAGCTCAATCCCAACAGGCAATGATTGACGTTACTAATGACCTAATGGGGGAGATGGATGTTAAAGGCACTGTACTAGTTACCAAAAATCCACAGTCATGGAGCAGACGATGAAGAACTCATCAGTAGGGTGTGCTGTACCATGCCACAACTTTTTTTTTTCTGAACGACAGGCATATCATATTCAGATCAGGAAGCAAGCAACCATGCATAGATCTGCGGATCTGCCGCACACCACAACCAGGCAGAAAAAAGGAGGCAGTGACAGGAACCAGAGGAAAGAAACAAGAGCGTTTCAGGAAACAGCTGCTGCCCCCATACATGCTATTTCAGCATCAACACCCAAATCTGAGCAGCCTCAGGTCCATCCATCCATCCAAAACGGTGCTACAACGGGAAAGGCTTTCCGAAAGGTGTTTTGACACCACAATCCTTCACGCCATTCAGCTCAGCTCCCAACCATTCACTCATCACTCACTGCAATGCTAAGAAAGGTGTGCATGAGCACATCAGAACTGCACACAGGATGGGTCACCACTCACCAGTCTGAGAAGCCGATGATGATTGTGTATTTGGCGTGATCGCTAATCCTGTCCACTAAACGCGATCACCGGTTAGATCCCCGTGTTTCAGCTTTGAGTAATGGCGCCAACAGACTTTTGTTGGTTTAGAACAGGCCATGCGTTCAGAATGGACATGCCAACCACCCCTGACCCCTCACCCCCAGGAAAAGCTTGTGGTCAAGGTCAACCCTTATCTTACGGTTGCTAGGTTTCCATTCAGACCTGAACTATATATGCGGTTATACTTACGAAAGGTAATTCGATAACTAATAACTAATGAAGGGTTAGCCATCTTTATGGCAAATCAAATCAAAGTGAAATAGTTAAGATATTTTCCCCGTAACCCATAGTAGGGCTTGGAAAGCATGCATATAGAAATTCATCAGAGGATGAACACTCACCTCCCTGAATGAAGTAGAGGGTGAAAAGAAAAATATCAGCCACAAGCAGAAGTCGCCTAATTTCTTGGGCGTTTCCTGATGATCCGGTCGGAGCTCAAGAATCCCCACTGCTTTGCCGCCGACTAATGAGACAAAGGCGTGCTTATATTATTATACCTCTCTATAATTAATTTGATGTCGAGATTGTAAGTTAGTTGACGTAGCGGAACCAAAAAAAAAAACTAGCAAGTCCTTGTCAAACAAAATGATAATCAAAGCTGCGCGATAACCACTCACTTCTCTCAAGGACAAAAGTGACACAGGCAAAATGGAGTGATTCACATGGCTTTGGTTGCAGGACCTCTTCTATTGGTATAATATGTTTCCACATAAGAGCACTCTCAAAGTTTATTCCAGACAGAATATCGTATAATTTATAGAGCAAAAGTTAGCCTATCTCAAATCTATGGCCGTGCCCAGATTTGAATAAGGGGTACCAGTTGCACAATCTACTGAGTAATTAAGACTCTAGGATGATGCAAGAGATCCTGAGGGTCCTACGCGAGTTTCATCAGGATCTCTATTGGCTATATAATATGGGCTCATCCTAAGTTATTTAATTGCAACGTGGAAAACTTAGTACAAATCACGAGCTTTCAATGCACTGCATGAAAAACAATATATAGCCCCAAATGTCAAACCTAGTAGAGCAAATAGCTGATGAAGTACACATCAAGTTAGCAAGCACAGAAGATTTTCTGAGCAGACAGGAAGTCACAGCCTCTGTACTTCTGGTGAATTTCATTTCATTTCTTATCATAAGTTGATCACAAGGAGATGATAGGCTACACACACAATCCAATTCTCCTCATGTAATCATGTAAAACTATAGAGCACAGCAAAGGAAGAAAGAGAAAGACTAGCGATCCTACTTGATTGAGCCACTTCAGAGCATTTGGTCACTTTCACTAGATCATCAGATGAATCATTGTGAACAACATCTCAGACTGGATGATCTGGTGACTCTCTGAAACACGGGAGCAATTCTAACTGACAAGTTCAGGAACCATACCCTTCTCTCTCTTTTTTTTTTGGTTCTAAGGATATGAACATAAGCTAAATTCTACTGTTTTTTTTGTCTTTCTTTCGGCGCAGCTACAACATGGAAAGAGAAGGGAAATGAAACAGAGGAAGATAAAAAAAGGTTCACCTTTGCTGTTGCTACCTCTGTACAATGAGGCCAACACCCAATCAATCGAGCAGGTGCAGAATCAAAACCCATGACAAATCTCATCTTTGGACAGCACAAATCCAATTCTACGCTTTCTCGAGCGTCCGGACCAGTTCGACCGCGTTCTTGGCGATCTTGCAGTTGTCGTCGTTCACCAGAGCCTCACAGAGGTCGAAAGCTTGCAGCTTGATTGCTTCCAATGCCAGTTCGTTGCTCTCGGAACAAATCCAGTTGAGGACGAGCAGGGCCTGCTCGATTGCACGGGCGTTGCCGCTCTTGGCGACGCCCGTGAGCACGGAGACGACGCCGGGGATCCTGCACAGCTCCTGGCGCCCCTCCCGGCACCTGGCGAGGAGGCCGAGCACCTCGACGGCGCGCGCGGAGCCGTCGGCGGCGAAGTCCGCGAGCGCGGGCGCGGCGCCCTCGCGCACCGCGCGGCGGCGGTTCTCCGGTAGCTTGCAGAGCTCGAAGAGCGCCGTGGCGGCCTCGCGGCGCTCCCGCGGGCCGCCGCGGCGGAGGAGCCCCGCCAGCGCCGGGATGACGGAAGGGTGCGCCCCTATGGTGCACTTGTTGACGTCCACGGTGGCGAGGCTGGTGAGCGCCGTGGCCGCGGACGCCGCGGCCGCGCCGCCGCGGGACACCGCGGCGGAGAGCGCGTCCACGGCGCCGTCCGCCACGAGCCCGACGCGGGTGTCGTCGCCGTCCAGGCTGAGGTGCAGGAGCGCCCTGGCCGCCGCCTCGTCCCCGGCCTCCGCGTGCCGCAGCAGCACCGCCGCGTTGCCGGACTCCAGCACCTCCCTTCGCCCCGCGGCGCCGGACTTGGCCAGCCTCAGCAGCGCCGGAACAGGTGATGCGGACCGAACCGGCACCGCTTCTTGCCTCGCGTGCGCCCCTCCCTCCGTAGGGACAGGAGCCGCCGCCGCGGAAGGCGAGACGGCGGCTATGAGGCGGCGCAGCGCGTGGTTGGGGATGAGCGGCGGGCAGGGCGGCAGCGGGAGGTTGGTGATGGGGCAGGTGAGGTGACCCCCGTCGAGCCACTGCTGGATGCTGCGGCGCTCGAAGGTGTGGCCGGAGGGGAGGATGACGGGGTCCGTCATGACCTCCAGCGTGATGGGGCATAGGAAATCGTCCGGCCACGCCTCCATTCTTGAGCGGCAGGATCCGCGGCGCCGGCGCGTTCACGCGAAAAGGGGACGAGCGGAATGGGAAGCGTGTGGGAGGCCGAAGACGACGACGAAGAAGAGGAGGTCAGGACTCAGCAGGGGAGGAGAGGGGTTGGGGAGCGAGTGGGGAAAGGCCGGCACTTCCCGTGGACGGAAACGGGCTGCCGTGGGAGCGAGTGGGGAGACCCCCGGTGGGCTTAAAGTGTGCTCTCACTCTCGCACACTAAGTCTTGCGTGCAATGAATTATGCGTGTATATTTTATTTTGGCCACTCGATTTTTTTGTAAAATATATTCATCCCCTCTCATTTTAGAGTTGGTAAAGAAGCTTCTAGTATATATATTGTTGTGGAGTTATGGTTATCTTTTCATATTATGTATCTATTTTTATTTTAAAGCTAGCAAAAGGAGCTTTTAGCATACTCACCGCTCGCGAAACCGTGGCTTTATTTTCCCAAATTGTTCATAGATATATTCATTCCCACGAAAGTTAGTAACGGAGCCTCTAGCATACTCATTAGCACGGTGCCGTGGATAACTTCTCGTATTATCCGTATCCATTTTCATTCTAAAGTTGGCAAAGAAGCTTTTAGTATACTCGCTAGCGCGAAGCCGTGGCTTTAATTTTTCTTTCCAAGTTGTGCGTAAAGCGTAAATGTGGGGAGCGAGTAGGGAAAGGCGAGCACTTCCGGTGGACGAAAACGGGCTGCCATGGGAGCGAGTGGGGAAACCACCTGGTGGGCTTAAGTGTGTCTCACACACACTATGCGAAGTGTCGCATGCAATGAATTTTGCGTGTATCTTTTGTTTTATCCCCCAAATGTTCTGTAAAATATATTCATCCCCTTTCATTTTAGAGTTGGTAAAGAAGCTTATAGTATATATTATTGTTGTAGAGCTATGGTTATCTCCTGTATCTATTTTTATTTTAAAGTTAGCAAAGGAGCTTTTAGCATACTCAATGGTGCGAAATCGTAGTTTTGTTTTCCTAAATTGTCCATAGATATGTTCACCCGTCCATAGATATGTTCATCTGTTTTCGCACGACAATTAGTAACAAAACTTCTAGCATACTCATTAGCGCGGTGCCGTAGATATCTTCCTATAATATCAGTATCCGTTTTCATTCTAAAGTTGACAAAGAAGCTTTTAGCATACTCGCTAGCGCGAAGCCGTGGCTTTAATTTGTCTTTTCAAGTCATGCGTAAATGCATTCACTTGTTTTTATACTAAAGTTGGTAACATTACTTTTAGCATACTTATTAGTGCGGAGCCGTGGCTATCTTCTCATATTTATCTATATCCGTTTTTAGTTCAAAGTTGGCGAAGAAGTTTTCATTTAAATCCTAAAATCAATTATATTAACAAACATTCAAACTATCTATTTTCATGATTCCATCCGACACATGATGAATGCACCTTCAAAGAGGATAATTCAAAAACATTTCTCTTGCGGCGTAGTTCGCAAAGGATTGTGTGATGCTATCTAAATTTTAGCTATCAATGGTTGTATAGTATCAAAATCGTGTATATTTTGGTTAGTATTAATTAGATGGAGGATTTATGCCTTTAATTGATAAGATATGGTTGAAATAGTTGAGATGGACTAAATTTTTAATGATATTGCTGTTGATTATTTACTGCTGGCTGGTTTGGTGTGAGAGAAAAACACTATTTCCAGCTGGAAATTTACGATCGTTTACGAGCAAGCGAACAGGCTGATTCGTGCTCCTCGTGCCAAGATTGGCTGGACAGACGCCACAACCTTAATGCCTGGAGACATATTGTTGTTCTGTGTTTTGTAGTATGTAATCAATGCCCCAAATTTTGGACTAGGAGCAGGGCACTTCGCTCTTTTGCTATTGTGCCATGGCGTATGTTTCTTTCATGCGTGCTTTGCATGGCAATAGGGTTTAAAATAATATTGTTGATTGTTATGGGGGCTAGGCTAGGAAGATTGGGACTTGATGGGCACTTTGATGCCTTTTGTTGGGTTGAAATGGCCAGATCGAGACGGAACTATGTAGAGTACCACTTGCAAATATCCATCAAAGGAATATTCCACCTTGGAAATCCATTTATTCTGCTCTTTAAGTCCTTTTGTTGGACTTTGTGATCTTTCTAGAACAACTAATTAAAGGACATAGGTTCAATATATAAGGCAAAAGGTAAATAGTTAATCATTCATCATGATATATAGGCATAGCCAAAAATCAATGAAATATTTTAAAGCCTCAACAATAAATATGAAAGATCTCTAAATCTTATTGCTTTTGAAAAGGAAAGTATTATTCCAGTGCTTAAATGGGTTATGCTAGTTATATAAACTTTTATTTTATCTATGAATTCACAAAAAAATTTTATTTTATATACATACACATGCCGCTCACACACAAATTGTTATTTATGCAGTGGGATATTTGAAAGCCCATAGAGTGATAAAACAAATGTTTGAGAGTAGTGTTATCAACTCATCATATTAATCAAGATTAATTGTGATTAGTTGTACTAATCGCTACCTTGGTCTCGACTTGGGGCTATGATCCAATTAGGTCGATGAGTTTTCTTGTCATCCGAATTGTTATCGACTAATCGCAATTAATCGAACGACAGGATCCTTGGGCAATTAATGATAAGGACTGTATTTGGAATGGCTTGGACCTCTTAGGATTATATTTTTCAGCTCAATTTGGAACCCTACAACCTCTCACCCTCAGTCTCTCACATCTCACTCTCTCCTAACCACCAGTTGCATCCCAGCCACCACTAGCGCCCATGCGCAGGTGAGGTCCCGATGTGCGGGCGGGAGAAGCTGCTCTGCTAGATGGCGCCGCATCCCTTCCCTTCCCTTCCTACCATTTCCTCCTCTCCATCCTAGTTCTTGTGGCCAGGATGACTGGACAGGCTGCAAGGAGAGCTTGTGCAGGCGGGCGAAGGAGGAAAGTCACGAAAGCTGTCACTGCAAGGCGCTGACCACCTCCTCCCTTCCCATCTTAGCTGTCGCCCGCCTCCTCCTGTGGGGGGTATGACCCCAGATACCCACGGCAGACTACATGGACTACGCCCCTAGGGGTGGTCCAGCCCACAAGACGAAGCCTTGCGGAGCACAGCGCTGCTCGGCGGGCCCCGCAAGACACCGGGAAGATATCCTGAAGATACGACATAATCTGTTAGGATATGTTACGATCCCGTGATCCCAGTAATCTGTTATTACTTACCGGTTATCTCCCAGATTTAACCGACTCGTAACCCTACCCCCAACTATATAAGGCGGATAGGGGACCCCCTCAAAAGACACGCAATATCATACGACAGCCAATACAAACCAACAGACCACAGGAGTAGGGTATTACGTCGTGCTGACGGCCCGAACCTGTCTAACTCTTGTGTCTCTGTTGCCTTCTTGTTCTTCATTACGCGCACCTCTGCCGATCAATCTACCTTCGTGGGATACCCCTCGGAGGACTGCCGAGTACCTTTTGTCGACACCTCCCTTCCCATCATAATTGCTGCTGCCTCGTCCACAAAGATGAGCTCCTTCTTCAATGGTACTTTCTCCATTACTCCGCCATTTCCTTGAGATCTTGTTCCTGATTCTTGACTGTTTCTATTAGCAGTTCTGACTAATCACCCTAGTCGATGACTAATCGTGACTAGTCGCCTGGTCAGTCCATTAGCGACTAGGATCGATTCGGCAGTTCCTTGTTTAGTGGCTAGAAGGCTTATCAAATTTCTAAGTTTCATAAAGATGTATGTATTGTGATTATGACCTAATTGTACCTTGTAATAAGGATACTAAGGAGAATTGAATTTTGTGCTAATGCATGGTTTCTAAACAGATGTTTGTGTAGTTGGTCTAAAAGTTCTTGTGCCTAAGTTTGTAGACAAGTGGTTGTTGTCGTGACGAAGCCACAACATGGTTGTTGACAAAAATGGTAAAAATATCCACAACAATAATAATTTTAGTCCAATATCGGTGTTGAGAGCTAGCCAGATGAAAAATTGCAATGCAGTAGAGCCCACATCTTCCAAACCTGCCTCTAGGGAGAAAATTTGATGGTACCCACAAAGAATATCACATAAACTGATTTACTGCTATATACATATAATAAAAGTTAGTTCAACCATCACCCATTTGCTTTATAGCTCCTAGGAAATTAGCGACGGGATATCTCTACCATTTCAAATGAGCAAAATATACATTAAAAAATGTTTATTGCTTTCTTGATGATTTTGCAATCGCATACTGATAATATATATCTATCTACACCCGACGACATTTGTGCTTTGTCTTAGTATCTATATGCTACATATGATGGAATATATCATATGATATATGTTGTTTGGATAGTATCTATATGCTACATATGATGAGCAAAATATCATTATGCATGAACCAATGCAAATAGCTAATGACCGCAAGAAATCGGGGGTAGGGTCTTTGCCAATCAGAAAAATAAGACAGAGTCATTTCACAAAACACACAAGTTGAAGTCCCATGTAAACTGATTATCCTTATTGTATGCCCCTAAATAAATAAGTTTATTTATAGTCAACCAAGAAGTTAGTTTAATGGAATTTGTTTTTTCATAAAAGTAACTTTTGAAACAACCCCAAATAAAAGAAATTAGCCACCATATAATTTTACCATTTTTCAATTGAGTAGATATCATAATAATTGTTGATTGTAGGAAAATATCATGCCCAACAATCTAGATATACCAAGTAGTTAGCGAAGTCACTAGCACTAGTGACCCAGGCACTGACTAGGGGAGGATAGTAGGGTGCCTAGCTGGCTACCATGATAAATTAGCACAATTATTCCACACAAGGGTAAGGAAAGATGATGCATATGTATTGGATGGTTATTACTACTATGAAAAACTCATTCTAAAGCCATTCCTCAACTAAACTATACACGTATCTTGAAACCATCTTATAAATTAAATTACCCTTATACCTACATATAGTAGAAAAATAACT